TATAGGATATTTGAGGGTACCATTTTGGCATGGATTTTGACCAAAAATTATGTTACCAGATTTTGATGCAGAATTGATATTGAGGCCAAAGCATGAACAAAGAGCCAAACCTTAATAAAATCGGATGAGATTTGACCGAGTTATGGGGATGGGAAGTTTTGAATAAGTCTATATAGGAGGGTACCATTTTGACATGGATTTTGACCAAAAATTACGTTGCCATATTTTGATGCAAAATTGATAATGAGGCCAAACCATGAACAAAAAGCCGAACCTTTTGAAAATCGGATGAGATTTGACCAAGTTATGGGGATGGGAAGTTTTGACTAAGTCTATATAGGATATTTGAGGGTACCATTTTGACATGGATTTTGACCAAAAATTACGTTGCCATATTTTGATGCAGAATTGATAATGAGGCCAAACCATGAACAGAAAGCCAAACCTTTTGAAAATCGGATGAGATTTGACCAAGTTATGGGGATGGGAAGTTTTGACTAAGTCTATATAGGATATTTGAGGGTACCATTTTGGCATGGATTTTGACCAAAAATTATGTTACCATATTTTGATGCAGAATTGATACTGAGGCCAAACCATGAACAAAAAGCCAAACCTTTTGAAAATCGGATGAGATTTGACCAAGTTATGGGGATGGGAAGTTTTGACTACGTCTATATAGGATATTTGAGGGTACCATTTTGACATGGATTTTGACCAAAAATTATGTTACCAGATTTTGATGCAGAATTGGTATTGAGGCCAAAGCATGAACAAAAAGCCAAACCTTATTAAAATCGGATGAGATTTGACCAAGTTATGGGGATGGGAAGTTTTGACTAAGTCTATATAGGATATTTGAGGGTACCATTTTGACATGGATTTTGACCAAAAATTACGTTGCCGTATTTTGATGCAGAATTGATAATGAGGCCAAACCATGAAAATCGGATGAGATTTGACCAAGTTATGGGGATGGGAAGTTTTGACTAAGTCTATATAGGATATTTGAGGGTACCATTTTGACATGGATTTTGACCAAAAATTACGATGCCATATTTTGATGCAGAATTGATATTGGGGCCAAACCATGAACAAAAAGCCAAACCTTTTGAATTAAAGTTTTAAAATTACTTCTAGCTGGTTAGCAAAATAAATTAAATAAATAAAAAATAAAATAAAAAAACATTAATATTAACATATAAACTAACGTATAAAAGTCCCTGTTCATATGTAAAAAACAAATGAATTGACAAGAAAACAGAAAAATCCATTCTAAAGCAGGATTTATGATAGCTCAAATGCCCTTAGAAAATACATTCAATCTCAATTACTCCACAAAATGAAACATTAATATTCATTGCGGATATATGAATAGCTCAGCACATGCCGATTATAACGTTTCGTATTACAAAAAGTTCCCATTTCATAGTTAATTCGTTTAGAATTATGTCTGCAGCATGACAATGCACAAAAGGCACACCCACAACGCCCACAATGCCCCAAGGAAAGAGTCGAAAAGAAATGCGACCGCATATAATGCCAATAATTGATAATTTATTATAATCACAGACTATGGGAATTGTGTAGAAACTAGTGGGAATCAGTCAACCAGCAGCCACTCAACCCAACCAAAACCACATCTCAAGACATTGCCCCGTTCGCTCTGCCCAAAGGGGTTGGCAGCGTGTGTGTGAGTGTGTGTGTGTGTGTGCTGTCAAATAATTGCATTTGCTTCAATAATCCTTTAATGCTGATCCAACTTGATGGGCCGAGCACTTGGTATCAGGAGTTCTGCTGCCGCATATGCTCGCCGCCGGCGAACGGGGCGGTTACCGAGAGGTGTTGCTGTTGCGGTAGCCCAATTATTGTTGCTGCGGCACAGGCAGCGGCAGTGACAGCGGCAACTGTTGTTGGCAAAGGGTTCACGAAATGCGTTTGATATTAACACATCTGTTCATTCATTCCACTTGAGCTGAGCGACATCATCGTCCTGTGTAGAGTGGCTGCCCGCCAAACTGTTTGCGGAAGCTAATGGTGCGCACTTGCCATAATTACCCCGGGCCGATCTCGGCCACATCCTCATTTTCCTTCTCACATTCTCGGCCTGCTGCGCGTCCGCCTTTGGGTGGTGTTTACCTTCGCATTGTTTCCATTTTGTTAAACAACTTTGCTTTATTTACCGCTGTTTGCTTATTTGTTTTTGCTTGTTCATCACAAATCGCTTTTTGTAACTTGTAACCACAATTTCTTTTTTATTTGTTTCATTTTTTTGAGACCTGAAACCCTGTGTTTCAATCCCAGTACCAATGTTTACCTTATGTCGCATTGTTACCGAAATTATGAGCACTTTTGCCGCCTTCGGGCGTTTCTTTTTTCTTTTATTTTTTTACTTTTTGCAGAGGTAAGCAAATTATATAGAGTAGGGCTGCCATCAATGCCATAGGGAGAGCTGCTCTGAAATGCTTCTATTTATAAGTAGCGACGTGTGCTGTGAAGCGAATGTGGGATGCAGGAAAAAAATAAAACAAAAAAAAAACGGTGTTGAAAAGTGTCCCAAGTATGCTTGCTTATTGCAAATATTTTTATAGGAATACAAACGCTATGAAATATTGTGAGTGGGACCTACATAAAATGCTAAAAGTATCTATGAAGGAAACTTTTTAATGCCTTGTCTAGAAATGAGTTGGAATCAGGAAATATATCTATTTTTTAACCTTAGAATATAGCAATATGTATCTCGCAGAATATTAAGCCTTTATTCCTTATCATCATCAGAGGATCATATACAGAATAAGCTTCCTGTTCTTGGATTTGGCCTATACGCCTGGTCACCTTTTTGCCCTTCAAAGAATTATATAAAACTCGAATTTTACAAATGAATATTCTTAAGCCGTATTAATTGTTAATAATATTTAATATTAATAACAATATTTATGAGAATATTTGGCTTATGATCTTCAATACGTAAAAATTGTTTTATATGTAATTTGGTTATTAATAGAAATTTCTTTTATTATATGTGCTATTAAATTATTTAGAACAAATTCTCTAATGTCTAAAACATACATCTGAAGCATTAGGGAGCTTTCGGCTTAAATAAACTTAAGTCCAGATTAGCAAAAACTTTAAGCGCAGCACCTAAAAGTATGCAGCCAAATCCAAGCAGCTGCATCATCAGAAAATAAAATAAAAATTAAAACTTGAATTAAATATGCAAAAATGTTGTAGCCAAACGAAATCAATTAGCCTTGTTGTAAATTAATATGCCAAAAGGCAAAAAGCAACAAAAACCGAAAAGTTACTTCAGCTCTCTAGGTGCCCTCCACAGTGAAGCATTGAGAAGCAATCAAGGAACTAAACCAAGCGAATTGAATAAATAAGAAATATGGTAATGTCTTACTGTAGATTGAGGGTTGGGTTTGCAAAAATGTGCATGAAATTATTATTGGCAGAAGGAAACACACACACACATACTCATGTATATATATGGGTTATCTGGGTGGGTGGGCTGGATAAAGTCAAGGCAGACGCACACAATTGTTTTTCATTATTCAATTTTTGTCATAATAATAACCCAAGCTCAGCAGCTCAGCAGAGGCAACAGCCACACACTGTCTGTCTCCCTCCTGCCAGCTATATGTGTCTCGCTCAGCGGAGCGAACCCCGAGGTGGTCGCTGCACTTGGAAAAAAGTTTACCCAGCCATATTTTATTGGTAATGTGCTTATGGCATAAATATTGTATTAAGTAACTGGTGGGCGTCACCACCAAAAAGAACGAAAAAAAAAATATATATGTATATATCAAAACGTGAAAACCCCCGCAATAACTTTGCTGCAAGTCTGCTTGGGGGTGTGTGGTTGTGGGTGGTAGCTGTAACTGCCTTTTGGGGGTTGGATTGTGCGCAATTTATTGTTAGCTGGAGCCTGGCAGGGCGCATGGGCCTGGGTTGGGCTAGTGTTTGGTTAAGTGGGTGTGTGTGCGAGTATTGTGTCTGGTATAAAGCCAACATGGCGGCCATGGCAGTGGAGCAGAAGAGCAAGGCGAGAGAGACAGAGAGGGAGAGACATAGAGAGAGTGAGAGAGAGCGGAGAAAGTTGCCTCGAGGCGCAAAATGTTGAAATTGTTTTATGTTGCGTTATGATTACAACAATGCGAACTTTTGCTCAATGTATAATTTGAATTTTGATTAGGAAATTTACTTACACACACACACACACACACACACAGGCACAAAGAGTGGGAGGGCGGGGGAGAGGCAGTTAGATGGCGCGCCCCCTCAAGTTAGAAATCCCATTAGGGGCCGCTTTAAGCATGGAATCAGCGTAACCGGAACTAAAAGCAAATACAGCAGCAACAACAGCAACAACAACAACAACAACAACAAGAACAACAATAGCACAAAAAGGAAACACGCGCGCATAAGCAAGCAGGCAAAAGGATGCCAAGGATGCGAGGAAACAGAGCAGAGCGCGGGGGCAACTTCGAAGGATGCCTGGGCATTGTCTTGATTGAAGCTCATTAGTGAAGATGCTCTGATGGCATGTGTGTGTGTGTGGTGGGTGGCACACACCCCCTGCCCCTTGCAGCCTCTTACCAATTTAGGCGCTGATTACAGGCCAAATTTGTTTTGTGTGCCTGCGCAAAATTGAAAATCAGATTTTGTTTGTTTATGTCTTCGAAGACACAATGCGAACGCAGGGCGCAGGCGGCAAATGTGGGCGTGGGTTGGTTGCTTGGTGCAAACAACAAATTGTTAAAGTTTCTGAGGTGGAAAATTTCGTTTATTGTTTTTCGCCCGTACATGTGGGTGTGTGTGTGCGTGCGTGTGTGTGTGTGTGGGGAAAGTTTTCCAATTTTCAATTGGCTGGCAGCCAAGTCAAGTCACAACTTTAGCCCACAGCATAAATAACAGCACTCAGCCATACAAAAGCAATTTTCTAACTTTATTCTCCCGCTCTCCCCCCCACCAAATCTCCTGCTCCTTTTCGTTCACAGGTCTGGTTCCAGAATCGACGCGCCAAATGGCGCAAAGCGGAGCGACTCAAGGATGAGCAGCGCAAGCGGGAAAATGGCGAAAGCAGCAGCTCGCTGGACAAGGTAAGATATATATATATATATATATATATATATATATATATATATATATATATACATATAGATATATAATACAAAGGAAAGCTATAGATAAGGCTGAATTGAACTATTAATCTCATTTGGAGGAAAAAGCTTAACATATATTAACAATCATGCATTTCTTCTCTTCTGCAGCTTCATGACTCGCGCGAATCCTCGCCAGATATCACCGGCGAAATTGATGATGATATGGATGAGCTGCCGCCACGTCAACGTTCGCATAGTCCTTTGACAAATGGACCCATGGAACAGCAGCATTCACGCAGTCCGACTGGCGGTCATCATCTGGACTCGAGCGACAATGAGCGACCGCTGTCCTCTGCCCAGCTGACCGCCACACCACACTCCGCCTCGCAGTCACTGGGCTCCATTAGCGCCGGTTCCCCCTCGCCGGGCATGCGCGAACACACGCCGTTGGCCGGCGGCCTGGGCCCCAGCAGCCCCTCCAATTCGCGCAACACAGACTCACCAATCGAGGTGGGTGGCCCCATGTCGCTGACCACCGGCTCGCGTATGGCGGCATCGTCCAACAACTCGGCCTCGTCCACACCAACACCAACAACGCCGCATGCAGCCCAGCTGCCACATTCGGCAGCCGCTGCAGCCTTTAACAGTCACATCTTTGGCAGCTTTGGCGCTGGCAGCGTTACCAACGATAAGTAAGTAGTATTATTTCTCTTTACTACAATAATCTCTAAATAACAATTTTACTATTACCTTATTTAAAATTTTCGTATATTGATTATTCACGTGTCTATTTGAAGCTTTCTATGTTTGCTTTAGAAATATCGATTTATTGACCTTACTTTGATTCAAACTATCAAAAATTTGGAAATAGCCTCAATCGAGTATTTCAAATATGTGCATTCTAATATTAATATCAAGAATTTAACTCGAGTTCTTTGATCTCTATAAAATAGTGTTGGGGAAATAGCTATTCTCAATATTGAAAAGAAAAATGCAAAATTAGAACATTTCATATGCTCTGATTTCTTGTGGAAAAGTATCACGCAATCCAATTACGTGTAGCTCCTGTTGTTAGCTCCAGTTGATGCCAAGGGCTATCCATGGCAGCACACACACTCTTCCTTAAGTATAATACTTATATGAAACCCCTGGTGCACACCCCTGTAAGCCAGCGCGATTAAAACTCAACGATCTGCTAATTGCCTGCGTGTCATTAAGCCTCCACTTACAATGGCATTAGGCAACAACAAACAATAAATTTATGGCAAGTGTCGCATTTTGTCCTCAATTTGACAATAACAATGCGACTGAGCACAAAAACAACTGCCAGCAAAAAAAAAGAAAAAAAGGAAAATAGAATAAAGAGTACAAGGGCAAACAGAACAGAACGAACGCCACCCCCGAGTGCAATTTTCCAAGCAAATATTTACAAATCCGAGCAGGACAAATGTCACCCCTAAAGGCGGCGATGACTAAATTAGCAATTGATTACGACCGGGAGAAAGAAACGAGGCAGTGGAAAAAAAGCAGAAATTTTGGGAGCTGTGTATTATTATAGCCAGACAACGACCACAATGAGAGCAGTAATGATATTAGCTGGTTGGGTGGGTGGCTGGCTGCCGGGTTGGTTCTGGCTGATGGCGAGACTTTTGACTCTCGCCTGGCGACTCCTGCGGTGCCGGACCCGGGCACGGGCTATTGAACAGGCGTGCGCAGCGGAAGACGATTCAGTTAATGTTTTGGATGAAAACGTTTAAATTCCATTGGCGCACATCCGGTCAGCGGATGTCGTGTGCGCCAGCGGAAACATTAAGAGTGCCCCCCTTCTGGTCCAGCCCCACACGCTAAGTTCTCAAAAAGAAAGTGAAACTAGCGACTTAATGATGCTGCATTGATATGACCGACGCGTGCTATCAATGCCAGCCTCTAATCACCAACGGAACAGCGCCTGAATGACTCCAGCATTGTCTTTAGCATCGAGATTCTCAGTGAGCCAGATATATAAGATGGTTAATCGATTTTGAATTCATTAGTTTTGAATGCCCGCCTAGCATAGCCCGTAGACTCAGTTATATTATATTAATATATGTTTAAATTTATAAAAATTATATCATCTGCATTCCATAGATACAAAAGTAAAGCAATATCAAACTGATAACCCTTCAGCATCCTTCTATAAGCAGTTTTCAAGTCAAGCAACGCATTCGACCAGTCAGTTCCTAAACCCATTGGGAATTGCAAACGTGTGCTTTATTTAAATTGATTGTTGTCACCCTTTATGTTATTTTTTATACCCCCGTTGGGTATTATAATATTCGTCATGATATGTGTAACGCATAGAAGGAGTTATTTCCGACATATGTATATTCTAGATCAGCATTAACAATCGACTTGATATAGTATCTATAAAAAAGGAGGATCTTGTATGGCAACTTATTGTGCTTTAAGTTATCTGGAATAGACTGCTCCTTATCTGTATCAGACCACATGCTATCGCATTTCTATATTCTATATCGCTATAGGAAGCAAATATTCATAAAGCAAATGTCTACAAGGGTATAAAATCTTCGGTGCGCTTAAGATATCCATAACTGTCTCTTTTCTCTTTTTTCTTAACTAAAACTTAAACTTAATTGTGCAAGAGTTAGAATTATACTTTTTTAAGTACAGTGGAATTCATTTATTCAAAATCAAATGGTTTCGCTCGTAAAAAACCGACTTGAAAATTTAATTGGGCGTAAATGAGGGTGTTTTGTGTTTTGTTGTGCTGCCAATGTAACCATATGCCACACCCAGGCAAAAGGCGGCTGCTGGTTTTTGTTTTTTTTTTTTTTGCGATAAGTGTGGCAGGGAGGAAGTGTCCGCCGGTTAGCGGTGGGCGGTCTCATCAGCCGGCAAAAAGGCCACGGGCGGCCCGGCTCTGCTTTAGCTCACATGTCAACGCGCCCAGACAACAACAACCAAAGCAAGAACAACAATAAAGCGACACACCACAATAAAAAAAAGAAGAAAAAAAAAAAACAACAACAAGACACGCACAAACTAACATGGGATCAGGATATGGATCAGGATATAATAGCGCAGCGGCAGTAGCTGACAAGCCAAGTGGGCGAGGGGACAACCCACTGGGCAGAAGGTCGACTGCTTTTGCTGCTGTTCCTGCTGCTGCTGTTTTAGCTGAATCATTGCCCGCTGTTTGTTGTTGTAACGGTTGACCAAATCAATTCCGACTTTGTGCCATATATGCTAATGGCAATTGCCTTTGGCTCTCAATACATGCACTCAGCACTTTGATATCGTTTGATATCGTTATTGTTATTCAAATGCCTTCAACCGGATGTCCTGTGTGTGCTTCCATCTTCCATTTACCATTTTGCCATCTTTTTGCAGCTAATCTCAAGTCGAGCGTTTCATCGCAAGCATTTATCATCGCATTTGATATGCACTCAGCTGACTCCAAGCATTTCTTTATCTCGATATTCTCGCATATTTTATGCAAATTGCAATGCTGTAGTAAAAAAACCAACACTCACAAGCCAATCATTCGCCTGGAACTGGAGCCTAACTTTTATGCTGATGTCAACTCAGTAATTCCGAAAGTCAATCAAAAAATTGTAAATAGAGTAAATAAAAAAAATGAATTTAAGGGCGCCAAGCTCAGTTGGCATAATTAGATGACATTCACAATTTCAAATGTATCAAAAATTACCTCACACAATAATGAACCTTAATCTGTGCCATGCCAAATATTGAATACGCTTCAATATGTTGGGCTTATGTGAATAGAAAAATAATATTGTGGTTCAATGTTGTTACGATTTTTCTCATATATAAGGAGCACAGTGGGTTTGGTTAGGATATCCTGAAATTGAACAACTCTTTTCATACATACAATTTATATTCAAAAACTTTATATTCAGAAGCCAGTTATATGATATAGAATTCGAATCGACATATGTAGTACCTGGGCCAGAAAGTTGGATATATACTACGTTTTTTTGAGATTTATTAATCTAATTTGCCAGACAGAAAGACAGACATAATAATAGCAATACAATATTCTGAATGGAATCGGAGATGTCTCTTTCTATAAAACGCACATTACATTAAAGATAATACTCTCTACATAGGTATAAGAAGGGATTTTAAAATTCATATTTATCGATTTAGATGCTTGAAGTTATCAATAATCGGATATGGCCTGATTTATTTGTATTATTATTATTATTTATTTATAAATCAGGCCATATCCGATTATTGATAACTTCAAGCATCTAAATCGATAAATATGAATTTTAAAATCCCTTCTTATACCTATGTAGAGAGTATTATCTTTAATGTAATGTGCGTTTTATAGAAAGAGACATCTCCGATTCCATTCAGAATATTGTATTGCTATTATCATGTCTGTCTTTCTGTCTGGCAAATTAGATTAATAAATCTCAAAAAAATATCCATACAAAATCTTCACTTTTTTCTTACTCTTATTGAAAAATTTCCAAGCATCCTCCCAACATTTACTTTTATCTTGAAACGAGTAATTTTTTTTGTCAGCAGAGAAAAACCTTTAAAATTATGCAAACAATAAAAAAAGACACTCGATTTAATGATTGCATAAGGCAGCAAAATGAAATAATAATAAATTAAAGCAGTTTTGTAAATATAACGAGGGCAGATTTCTTACATAACCCCGAGTTGAATATGCAACGTGCCTAAACAAATTATTAAAATAAAAGTTTATTTAGCTTATATTTTAATTTGACAAAAATGTATATGCTTGTTTAAGAACAAAAGGTGCGCTATTCAAAGATACTGTATAGACAGGTTTTCAATTGCTTTTATTCAAATTTCAAGTAATACAACAAATCGTATAATCTTGACCGACTGAAAAAAAAAAAACAATAACAATTAAAGTAAACACCTGCCAGCTGCGCTCGCAAACATTTAAGTTTTTTGTTGTTTTCTTGCTGGCAAGAGTGTGAAGCACTTTAATTACATTTATCTTGAGAATTTGTATAAACAATTAAAACACGAGAATACACTAAAATTGAATACGTGCGTTGATCTTCAGAAGGCCAAACACAATTTGAATTTTTTAATGACACAGACTGAACAATTTGCATGCTATTATTAGTATATTATATCTTGATTTAACTATACCTTACTTAGTATATATTATAGTTTAAGGGAATTTAAGCTTCCTGCCATGTAGCACTTGAGCTGTATCTCCCTTCCGCAATGCATCTTACTGTCATAGTTTGTTTGTGAAGTTATTAAGAGTATCTTAGCTTTGTGCAATGTCTGTCTGTCCGTACATGCTTTGACTCTACTACAACTAGAAACTTGAAACCCATTCCGAGTCTACTTCATCTCTGTTTAACTCTGGCATTCAACCTAATCTCGTCGCGAACTTCGTGCATCAAGTCCAAATCTGCATAGCTCTAGCTTTTAATTTAATATTTCACATTAATTAGTTTCGTATTTACATGTGACTTGAAATCGTATAAATTGTATGAAATTTCTCTGGGTGTTTGGGATTCGCAGCTTTCAATGGATGATCCTTACTGAGCGTTCACTTAAGCCTTAGCCGCATTTATTTCATGCCACGCCCACATTACAAGGTGAAGCTACTATCCTAAAATGACATAAAAATTACCAGACTACTATGGGATCTCTAGGGATAAAGACCTAACACACACGATAATTTTAAAACATTAAATTTGATTATTAAATTAGACACGAGTGAATCGGGGCTTGTTTTCTGGATGAAAAACCCAACACATATTGAAACTCTAAATATTGTTTCTCCTTGCTTCAGTCAACTTTTGTCAACTGCGGCTACAATTTCTCAAATCTTGGAATGAAGCTGATTTTATATTTTTTGGTTCTCGCTGCATACGTGGGCAGTTCTTTAGCTCTTAAACATGGTCAGTACTAGAAACTGGAAAATTCTTCACATAAACTCAGCTTTTATCTTGTTAATACCCACAAAGAGGTCTGCGATTTGCCATATGCTGATAATGGTATTGATATTGGAAGAATCTACTTGATTCTCAACAACAGATGGTCCTATAATTCAGTGAACAACAAATGCACACTTTTTTCTTATAGAGGCTGCTGTGGAAATGCTAATAACTTTTTAACACAAGCAGATTGTGAGGAAAAGTGCCTGGAGCAAATAACAAATGAAGACAGCATGATAGCTTAGCATGAACTAATTTAATATGTTAGCAAACTTATCAGAACGTGCAACAGCGCTGAGATTTTATATAAAAGTTAATATATCACACTTAATTGTTTTGAAGTTTATATGCGTTCTGTTGTTCTATTTATTCGTACATCGGAAATCCTTTATAGTCCTCATTAGATTGTTGCCTGCGGAGGAATTCAAGTATTTTAATATGTCAATTGATGATTCGTTCTTAAATTTCGACTAACAGTACTTTACTCTACTGGCAGCCGGCGAAAATGAATGCCTTGCCGACTTGCCAAGGTGACTGTAGATATAAATACTTTTTATACATGCTAAATTTGATTATCAAAATTAGACACGAGTGAATCGAGGCTTGTTTTCCGGATGAAAAACCCAACACAGATTTAAAATCCAAATATTGTTTCTCCTTGCTTCAGTCAACATTTGTCAACTGCGGCTACAAGTTCTCAAATCTTAGAATGAAGCTGATTTTATATTTTTTGGTTCTAGCCTGCGCATGCGTGGGCAGTTCCTTAGCTCTTAAACATGGTTAGTACTAGAAACTGGATCGTTCCTCAAATAAACTCAGCTGTTTTTTATCGTTAATTCCAACAAAGAGGACTGCGGTTTGCCACATGCTAAAGATGGATTTGATGATGGAATAATCTGCTTGGCTCGCGGCAACAGATGGTCCTATGATGCGGTGACCAAAAAATGCACACAATTTGTTTATGGGAGCTGCGGTGGAAATGCTAATAACTTTTTTACACAACAAGATTGTGAGGATAAGTGCCTGGAGTGAATAACCAAGGTAGTCAGCATGATAGGTTGACATGATCTAAATAATTATGTTATCCAAGATTGATTATAAAATTTTTAGAATATGCAATTGGCTTAGGTAATAAACAATGTATACAATATGTACGTTTCAATTTAGTTCCACCTTTTTTATAGTGAATAGAATATTTTGTATACACACCATATTTGATTATTGAAATCCGACACGAGTGAACCGGGGCTTGTTTTCCGCATGAAACACACAATACAGATTTAAACTGTATATATATTTTACCCATGCTTCAGTCAACGCTTTTCAACTGCGGTTACAAATTCTCAAATCTAAGAATGAAGCTGATTTTATATTTTTTGGTTCTCGCTGCATACGTGGGCAGTTCCTTAGCCCTTAAAAATGGTTAGTAAAAGACACTGAGACAAAATTCAAGTAAATTCAGCTTTTATCTCGTTATTACCAACATAGAGGTGTGCGGATTGCCAAATGCTAAAAATGGCTTTGGTGACGGAAGATTCTGCTTGATTTTCAAAAAGGTATGGTCCTATAATGCAGCGGCAAAAAAATGCTTAGGGTTTGTATATGGAGGCTGCGGTGGAAATGATAATCGCTTTTTAAGCCAAAAGGATTGCGAGGATAAGTGCCTGGAATAAATACCCAATGAAGAAATCATGATAGGCTATCATCTTCTAACTAATTTTGTTAGCCAAAATTGGTTAAACAATTGTGTAGAATATGCAATCGGGCCAGGATATTAAACAACATATTGATAATTCCTGAAGACTTCCCCAGCGTTATGTTCTTTGTACAAATCAATTCAGTTGCGCCTTTTAATTTAATGTTTCACACTTTAGTTATAAATTTCTTATGAGGCTTATACATCGCATAAATCATTGTGTTCCGTTCTACAGAAGTCCTTTTTAGGCGTTGAGGAATTTAAGCATTTGAAAAATGTACTTTACTCTACCGCCAGTAGGTGGCAATGAATACCTTGACTCCCTGCCAAGGTGACTCTAGATAGAAAGATTACACTCTATTTAATACTCACAAGATAATTTCTTTCAATAAATTTGATTATTCAATTAGACACGAGTGAATCGGCGCTTGTTTTCCGGATGAAAAACCCAACACAGATTTAAAATCTAAATATTGTTTCTCTTTGCTTCAGTCAACGTTTGTCAATTGCGGTTACAAGTTCACAAATCTTAGAATGAAGCTGATTTTATATATTTTGGTTCTCGCTGCATACGTGGGCAGTTCCTTAGCCCTTAAAAATGGTTAGTAAAAGACACTGAGACAAACTTCAAGTGAATTCAGCTTTTATCTCGTTATTACCAACATAGAGGTGTGCGGATTGCCACATACTAAACAAGGAACTGCTGGTGGATTCATGTGCATGGCTTACTACGAAAGATGGTCCTATAATACTGTGACCAAAGAATGCTCAATGTTTATTTATGGAGGCTGCGGTGGAAATGCTAATAGTTTTTTGAGCCGAAAAGATTGTGAGGACCAGTGCCTGGAGTGAATACCCAAAAATGAATCGTGATAGGAATTACGTTAGCCAAAATTGCTTAAACAATTGTGTAGAATATGCAATCGGGCCAGGATATTAAACATTATTTTGATAGTTCCTAAAGACTTCCCCAGCGTTATGTTCTTTGTACAAATCAATTCAGTTGCGCCTTTTAATTTAATATTTCACACTTTAGTTATAAATTTCTTATGAGGCTTATACATCGCATAAATCATTGTGTTCCGTTCTACAGAAGTCCTTTTTAGGCGTTGAGGAATTTAAGCATTTGAAAAATGTAAATTTGATGATTCTTTCCTAAATTTCGCCTTATAGTACTTTACTCTATCGCCAGCAGGTGGCAATGAATGCCTTGCCTCCCTGCCAAGGTGACTCTTGATAGAAAGATTACCCTCTCTTCAATACTCACAAGATAATTTCTTTCAATAAATTTGATTATTCAATTAGACACGAGTGAATCGGCGCTTGTTTTCCGGATGAAAAACCCAACACAGATTTAAAATCTAAATATTGTTTCTCCTTGCTTCAGTCAACTTTTGTCAATTGCGGTTACAAGTTCTCAAATCTTAGAATGAAGCTGATTTTATATTTTTTGATTCTCGCTGCATATGTGGGCAGTTCCTTAGCCCTTAAAAATGGTTAGTACTAGAAACTGGAAAATTCTTTACATAAACTCAGCTTTTATCTCGTTATTTCCAACATAGAGGTGTGCGGATTGCCAAATGCTAAAAATGGCTTTGGTGACGGAAGATTCTGCTTGATTTTCAAAAAGTTATGGTCCTATAGAGTAGCGGCAAAAAAATGCATAATGTTTATGTATGGAGGCTGCGGTGGAAATGCTAATAGTTTTTTGAGCCGAAAAGATTGTGAGGACAAGTGCGTGGAATAAATATCCAATGAAGAAAGCATAATAGGTTATCATCTTCTAACTAATTATGTGTAGAATATGCAATTGGGCCAGGATATTAAACAATATATTGATAATTCCTAAAGACTTCCCCAGCGTTATGTTCTTTGTACAAATCAATTCAGTTGCGCCTTTTAATTTAATATTTCACACTTTAGTTATAAATTTCTTATGAGGCTTATACATCGCATAAATCATTTTGTTCCGTTCTACAGAAGTCCTTTTTGGTACTCATTAAATTATTTGCTCCTTCCATACTTCAGACTTTCTAAAGGCGCTGAGGAATTTAAGAATTTGAAAAATGTAAATTTGATGATTCTTTCTTAAATTTCGCCTTATAGTACTTTACTCTACCGCCAGCAGGTGGCAATGAATGCCTTGACTCCCTGCCAAGATGACTCTAGATAGAGAGATTACACTCTATTTAATACTCACAAGATCATTTCATTCAATAAATTTGATTATTCAATTAGACACGAGTGAATCGGCGCTTGTTTTCCGGATGAAAACCCCAACACAGATTTAAAATCTAAATATTGTTTCTCCTTGCTTCAGTCAACTTTTGTCAATTGCGGTTACAAGTTCTCAAATCTTAGAATGAAGCTGATTTTATATTTTTTGGTTCTCGCTGCATACGTGGGCAGTTCTTTAGCTCTTAAACATGGTCAGTACTAGAAACTGGAAAATTCTTCAGATAAACTCAGCTTTTATCTCGTTATTTCCAACAAAGAGGACTGCGGATTGCCACAAGCTAAAAATGGCTTTGATGACGGAAGATATTGCTTGTTTTTTAAAAAGTTATGGTCCTATAATGCAGCGGCCAACAAATGCTTAAGGTTTGTATATGGAGGCTGCGGTGGAAATGCTAATCGCTTTTTAAGCGAAAAGGATTGTGAGGATAAGTGTCTGGAATAAATACCCAATGAAGAAAGCATGTTCTGTTATTCTATTTAGTGGTTCTTCGGAAGTCCTTTAAGGTTCTCGCTAGATTTGTTGCTTATGGTGCCTGCTTTCTTCTGATGTTCTATAGGGGCTGAGGAATTTACGCATTTGAAAAGTGTCAGTGATGATTCCTTTTTAAGATTTCGCTTTGTCATTTGTTAGGTAAACATATAGCTATACAAATTGTAACTTTCCGCTTTAGTTGCCAACTTGGCATTTGAATATCGGCTGATATTGCTTTTTCCATGATTTCGCTCCCTTTTATAGACCATGGAACTAATTGGGATAATTAAATAAGTAACTTGTGGCTTGATAATTCTGTGGCTCGCCTTGAAAGCATAGCGATAATATTTATGTAATTGGAAACTTATTTTGTCTACTAAAAAACATTTCGTTTCTTACAATTTGTTGTTGAAAAACAATTTCCAGACCGCAGCATTTTGAACCTGTGCCCAATTTCAAATCCCTTTTGGCTGGTTCAGGAAACTGAAGTAATTAAATAGCGCACCAAAATGTGAAAATATTTGCCAAAAAATTTGAAACAGAATTGCCAAATATTGTATGCACAACTAACTAAATACGTAATTAGACGCCAAGGCATGTAAAATCTGAGCTACTTAAACATGTAAACAGCCGCATGCCCAGGTGGAGGCCAAAAATCAAATGATGTACCCAAGCTATATGCCAGCTATATACTTGAGCATATAATGTATATACATATTTACCGACATGTATGTAAGCGCATTTGTGATGTTTGCGCGCACGAATGCTTGAATAATAAATTAAGCAAATATTTTAATATTCATCATGCAATTAAAATAAGCCGCTGACTCGCGCACAGCAAACAGCCAAACAACCAACCAACAGAATCCCTCCTACTACCCCCTGCTTCTTCCTCCTCGAACAGCTCCAACAAAGACCTTGGGTTGCCTAATATAATAAGCATATAATGTTCAGAGCCCTCGCTTTAGCTGCCAGCTCGTGTAGGAAGTAGAAAATAATTTCAGCCAAGGATAGCGCCAATAAAAAGCAGTCACATTGCGCCAGTAGAGAGTGCTTGCCCATCAAATACCCTGTACTCTTAGTTAAGTAGCCATATAAGCACGTAATTTCGTATCGCTCATTTATCGCTTTGTTATCTTTCATCATGAAAAGTTTGAAAAGTTTTCAAAACTATTTTTTCAAGACCAACCCGTTAAAAAAGAAAAGACTGGCTCGATTTAAGTTTCGTTTGATCTTGCCTTGTTAACCAGCTAATCAGGCTTAAGGTTCAATTCGTGGTATATAAAAAGAGAAATTGAAGGTTCTAACCATTTTGGCGCTGAGCTAGCTTGCAGCCTGGATAACGAGACGTTGAAAAATTCTAGCCAATTGCTTTCTGCTCCATAGCCAATTCTTAGCTTTAAAGCTAAAAAGAGATATCAATGTATTGAGGAAATATGTATATATACATATATAATAAGGTATATTAATAAGCATTATTATACCCTCTTCATTCATGTTTAATGGGTGCAGGGTATTAAAAAGAACACAGACTTTCGCTAGTGCAAACATTTTGCGGAAATTGGGTTTGGCGCTCGCCAAAATGGGGTTTAGCGCGGTGCGTAGCCCGCTAAGCCGTTGAGGTGTTGATTGCTCGAGTTTAATTTGTTAGAATTGCGTAAAGCATTAAAATGTTTGCCAGAAAAATTATGTGCACGGGGGCGGGGGCTTGGGGGGTGCTGGGAGCATTGTCGGAGCGCGGGCAACATGTGTAAAAATTCATTAAGCCAAGTCGGTAAAAGTTTCTCCTTGGCAACGGCAATCTGTGAAAAGTGCGAAAATTTAAAGAAAACTTTTGTGCGCTAGGTGAGCATGCTACGCGCTCTGTCTGACATTGACAAACGCACAAGTCTGCCCACCCCCCAACCTCCTCCGCCAACCCCTACGGCCCAGCCTTGCGCCAGTTGGCCCACAGCAAAAGTTATGTACTAACTAACGAGCTCAACGACAACACTCGAGTTGCTGAATGTCTTAATTTGGAGTGCGAGTGCCGTCAGTCGGAGGGCTGGGCCTGCTCTTGAGTGTTGCAATTAGGGCGGCGGTAGCCGTGTGGGCGGGGCCCTGTCAAACAGCACCGCGCGCTCGCCTGATGTGTCGCCTGCGGCAAACGTCGTTGATGCTGCAACATTTTTGCCAGTCTCAGACAGAGCACACAGCCCACCCCTTTCCCAGCCCCTAACCATAACCCGCGTCCGCCCGTCACCGGCACCGACTGTAGATGGCGCCACAACGGCAGCTGTTGGATGTGCACATGCAAAATTTAATTACGACCAAAGGATGAGTGCTTAATTATACGCAAACATTTAAGTTTACTGCTTTTTTCGCTACAACTGGGACTCAGACACAGACTGGGACTCAAAATGGAACTGGAACTATAAATACTGCTAGTGAGCGCACTTCCAAGAGTCTCTGTTTGCCAACTCTTCTCGTTGAGCTCGGACTTTTGCTTTTTCCTTTTGCCTTTGGGCCTAATTGGGCTGTCATTTTTGTGTGAAAAGTATCAAGTTGTTAAAGAAATTATAAAATATATACGTGTTATATATGTGTTTAATAGATAAATATTAAAAAGGAGCTTAGCTCGGCAAGAAATAGAACAAAGAATTCAACATTTTATAAAATATATAATATATACAAAATAATATGATAATATAATTAAAAAGTATGCGCACTGTAAAAAACACAACTGATTTAATTTACAGAAAATTCTTTTATAAATTCACCAATATATATATGTGAACACTTAAAAATGTATTTAAGTCTAAGCTACCTTAAGTTTTCTCAATATTGACTGACAATTTCCTCCACTCTTTAATCTGTTAGTTAAGCTTTCCTTTAGCCTTAGCTCTCGCTACAAAAGGTTCGCCCTAATCTAATGTTCTCTAAATCATTTTAAAAATAGCTTACAATTCTTTGAAAAATTCATAAAGTTTACATGAAAATAAATGGGCAAAACGGAGGAAAAATAAAACAACAAAAAATTACGCAGTCGCCGTATACAAAATTCTGTTTCAAGCTGCCAAATAGTATGTCCACCTCCTGCAATCTCCTGAAATCAGAACAGGCGCAACGCAGCTCAGAATTAGGACAAGAGCATGGTGGGTGAACGGGGAGGTAGGCAGCGGCAAACGCAAAAGCAAAAGCCAAAAAACCGTCAAGTTTAGAGTGGAAAAAAGTGAAAAGAATTAAAAGCAACAGCCGCGACGACTGTGGCCCAGTGGCTGTGGTCGCGACATTCGGTCGGCTCGTCCTGGCCAGCATCCCACCCGCAACTCGATTAGCATTCAGAGATTTGTCCCCCTGCTTGTGGCAGCTACATACGCATACACCTGACTGCTCCCCTCGCGTCGAGTTAGGCCGCGCACTAAGAGTTATTAAATTTTGGACACATTTGCATCCAGCTTCAGCTCCAAAAGTCCCGCAGGACTAGATTCAAATGGACTAAACGCTAAAAAGCTTAACGCAAATTGAAATAAATGGAAATTGAATTTTTTTTCTATTAACATTTTCACGTTTTTTTTATTCGCATAGAAACTCGTTTATCGTTTATGGCATTGAATTTATTTGGTTATGAGTACATGAAAAAAATACCAATAATATCCAACAATTATGACTAATAAAAAAAATGATAATTTTATTAATGGATTATGCCAGGCATATAATTTATCTATACCATGCTTACATAAGCGTTTTTTTTTTGTTCCTAAAAATTGTTGGCGCGCTTATCAATTAAAATTGTTTAAATTGCATTAACTGTTTGCTCGGGGACTTAACGAATGGGAGTATGGTATGGTAGGCGACCTAAGCGTTATATTTCATTCAATTAAACCGAGTAGGGGCCTAGACAACAACAACAATAACAACAACGACAAGAACAAGTGACAACAGCTGCCGCTTTTTACATATACAAAATATTTAGGTTTATTAATAATAATGCAATTACGCATAAAAATGTTTTAATTTATTTCAATTAAGCGTTAATTAAAAGCTGCGTTTGTTGTTGTTTGTCTGTTTGTGTGTTGGGTGTTATAAAAACGAAGCTTGTATACATATTCATCTAGATTGTCACAGTGGAATTGTGAAATGCATGGGGAAAGTTGAAAGGCCAGAGCGGTCACAACTTTCCCATTGCTGGGATAGTCAACCGCGATTGACATGAGATACAATATGCTCCGCACAAAGAAACTCTTGGTGCTATGTTATTGCATGGTATTGTGGAATATCAAAGCATGTCTAGAAAAGAAGAAGCCTCAATATTTTCTTTGTGTTCATGTTAGGACTGGGGTTGTAAGAAAAATATTAAGTAATCCTTTATGATCTCGAGATTTTGACAACATGATATGATACTCTTAGGAATCTTAAAAATAATCATATAATTATTGATAAGTTTAGTTGATTTCTTAAGTTGAAAAGTAAGTGAACATTTTATGCAAATGAGTTTGTATTCAAAAAGGAATAGCAAATGGAAAAAGTAAAGGGTATACGTACGTCTACTGTCAAGCACAATATAACTCTTAGGACTTGCAGCAAGTATAATGGGTAACAAAAATCATAAATTTGTACAAATTTAAAGCAAACCTAAAGCTCAAATATGTATGTATATATATTTTATAAGCTCCATTAAGCAAAAGCCACCCTTGCAGTACACTTTTTTAGGAACCCTTCGTTTTAACGTTAATATTCCTTCATGTTTCAATTACGATTTGACAATATCTTAATTGAATATGAAAAGCCTCTAAATATTATGTAAAACATAATACAAAATTCGAATAGAGCTGTGTTCTCTTTGCTTATTTTACTTTATTACTAGATTTTAATATATAGAAAAAGTATCAGCCATTCAGCTTAGGCATGTGTCTTTACATTCCTTAAACGTGTTGAAATTGTTATCATTGCCACCGCAGCCTCCATAAATGAACATAGTGCATGTTTTGGTCACCGAATCGTAGGACCAGTTTTCTCGCATTCTCCCACAGACTGTTCCATCTTTGTATCCATCTACTGAATGTGGCAAGTGGCACGCCGCTGGGGAAATGACAATGAAAGTTATTATAAAGTATATACATACATTTTAAGTACTCACCATTTTTTGGGCCAACAGTGTTGCCCGTTAAGAGAATTAAAAATAAAATAAGAAATAAAACAAAGAGTGTAGCGATTAGAGAAAATATGAGAATCAGCTTCATTGCAAGATTCGCGACAAGTTGAACCCACCAGCGTTGAAGCTAAATTGAACTGCTGCAAATTTAATTTTGTATATTAAATAGATTCGTTGCACTCTGTCAAACCATTTTTGATCCATTTCTAATTGGCACATTATCTGATAATATTTACCCATAAAACTAGAAGAATACTGTTGACACAGCTTGTTCATATAACACTTATAAGTGCATGAAAACCTTTAAGCCCTTTTTGAATTCATGAGAATCACATAGTAAGGCATTTGCGCAGTAAGGCGTTTGATATCAGAGAACATGCAGGCTCACAGATTACGTAATAATTAGTCTGTCCACATAATCTACAAATACATAGAAAATGTTTTGTTTTCTCTTATGTTTTCTCATATGTTTTAAATATGGATATGTTAATCCTAAATTCTCGTCGAATACTCTGTGTTTTCTTATAATAACTTTGTGCCTTATAAACAATATAGTCTTAAGTATTATCCTATCTAAATCTATATTAACATGAATTTCTTTCTTCGTTTGCAGTAATTGCGGCTTTCGTCCGGTACTCAGCGACCAGAACTCTGTGGCAGCGGCAGCAGCAGCCGCCGCCGCAGCGGCTCAGCGCAGCGCCAATCATCCACCGCTTTTCCTGCCGCCACATTTGGCGGCTCAGTTCACGCACCAGCCGCTCTTTCCGGGCCTCAAAGGTGGGTGGACTAATGGCATAATCTCCATCGATGGGCTGTCAATCAATGCGCACAAGAGAGAAAAAATCAAAATCAAAAGCAATTGCTAATCAAATTAGCAGCTGTTGCCAGCCCAAAGATGATGCATCGACATCAAAACTAATTTAAAAATTGATAATACAATTCATCTTTTGACTTTTTCTCAGGTGTATCGCCGTTTCAAAGTCTCTGTTCGTGCTGCTCCCTGAAGCCGCCGCCGCTGCCACCATCGTCGTCCGCCTCGACCTCGGTTATGGCGCCTCTGAGCGTGCCGGTGAGCAGCAGCTCGGCGGCCAGCTCGCCAGAGTCGCCCAAGTCAAGTGGCGGTGGCACGCATGATCCACGCTCCAATTCGGTGGCAGAGCTGCGGCGCAAGGCACAGGAGCATTCGGCAGCGCTGCTCCAGTCTCTGCATGCGGCAGCTGCGGCCGGCTTGGCGTTTCCGGGCCTGCACTTGCCACCACTCTCATTTGCCCATCATCCGGCACTGGGGCATGCCGTTAATCACAACAACAATAACAACAATAATAATCCGCTGCGTCTCAAGCATGAGGCACAGGATATGACGGCCAGCACAATGAATGGCCTGGGCCCGGGCGCCGGCACAGCCACAAGCTCCACATCGGCAGCTCTGCTCGATTTGGCCGAGTCGGCAGCGGCATATCATCACCATCAGCAGCAGCAGCAGCAACTGCATCAGCAGCAGCAACACCATGCCACTCTGTCGCCTCCGACCACGCCCACTCAGCTGCAGTCGCAGCAGCAGCTGCCATCATCGGCTGCTGTGCGTCCGGATTCGCCGCCAGCAACGGCCGCTGTTAATGGCAACGCGCTGCTCACCAAAACCGAATAAAGAGAGCATGAATGGTGTGGAATAATAAAATTAAATGAAATTAATCATTTACCATTATAAAAACTTTATATATATATATATATATATAAACATAATCTATGTGGCGGATTTACCATTTAAGCATTAGTTTTACGCAGCTAGAGGGCAATACACAATAAAAACACACATCTAAAATACTTTTAGATTACTTAGCTAGACATTTAGCGACTTGTTAGGGGCGTTCAGCTGAAAATCTAAGCAGAGAGTGCAGCTTGAGATAAGCTGGAGAATCGAAAGAGAGGGAGAATGAGAGAGAGGACAAGTAAGGGCGAGAAAAGCAAACAAGACCATAAAGTTTAAGTTTAATTAAAGTGCACCTAGAGAACAGAGAGAGGAAGGGCGCGAGAGAGCAAAAGAGAGAGAGAGCGAGAAAGAGAGAGAGAGAGAGAGAGAGAGAGAGAGAGAGAGCGAGAGCAGTTAAGCGGATTTCTATGTCTGACAGAAGATTACTAAATGTTTTAAATTTCTTTTTAATTTTTTATAATATATAAAATTGTATAAAATTTATAGGATTTTTTAGATTTCTGTTTAAGTTACACATATTCATTATATTGTGCAATTTGTAAAATAGAGCTCGCAGGGAGAGAACTGTAGACAGAGATAGCTGTACCCTCATAATCTGCGTTGCAATAGCATTTCCTTGGAATAGTGCTCACATTTTCGGTGACAGAGTGCCCCTTCGAATGGTTATAAAATATCAATAAAAGAACATATGCATAATAATAAAATAAAAATATATACTCATGTATAGAAGAGCAGATAGCTAACAAATAGCGATAACAAATAAGTAGATTATTTCACTGAAAACCTACAGCAGCCAGAAAGAGTATAGAAGAACAGATTGAACCAACAACAAAACATTATTTAAGTCAGCAAATATCTAAATAACACAAAAAAGAGCAAAGAGTAAAATCCAGTTAATTAAAGTTTAACAAGTTAATTAAAAAACAATAAATGAATATACTTACCTATTACGAAATTAAAAAGCACATAATTCTCAATTAAGTTATTTTATATATATTTATATATTTATTATTTAACAAAACAAGCTCCACTTAAACTTTGCAGGTCTGCTCGCACAAGTTCTTCGTGTCGAAGAGATTGTTGTTGCCTTGGCAGCCGCCGTAGGTGAAATTGATGCACTCATTGGTGTCCCGGCGATAGGTCCACATCGACTTCTGGGCGCGACAGTTGCCTATTTTGCCAAACTCCTCACCGCAGGCAGCTAAATACAGAGGATCACAGAGTGATGATCACAGAGTGCAGCGCGGGCTGTTTGAAAACTTACGATTCTTAAGTGTGGCCAACGCAGCACCAAGCAGCGCGCAGAGCAACAACAGCACAGCGAAAGATTTCATCTTGAATTCGGGTTGATACAAAAAAATCGAAAAAATATGAAACTGATGTTTGGGCACTGCGTCGGTTGCAACTGATCTGGTTGCCGGCATGTGGGGCTCGTTATATAGGCAGAAACCGGCTGTAGGTTTATCTCCTGGGTCAAGATGAGCGCTCTCTTGCAAAAACAGCAACAAAAACAACAACAAACCTTGAAAACTGTAGAAAAATGTGTATTTATTTTACAAAACAAGCTTCGTCGTTTTTTTTATAGTTATATAATTCCTTTTTTTTTTTTTGTTTGTTATTGTTTATTCGCCTTTGCGCTGGGTTTTGCCAGCACTTGAGACTGGTTTGACGGTGTGCTTCCAACTTAGTCCTTGCAAGCCGTTTCGCATTCACCTTTGCTGCCAAATTGATTTTTATTGCCACCGCAGCCACCAAATACAAACTCGACGCAGGCATTCTTGGCGGCATCGTAGGTCCAGCTGGGCATGTAGGCCATGCAGGCTGCACCATCCTGTGCCATGCCCGACATCGAGTGCTGCTCATTGCACATCTCTAGCAAGGGGAATAGTTAGTCCAGTCGGTACCAACTCCTCAAAGTTCCAGCGCTCCACTCACCTGGCTTGGCGTGCACACTGGCGAGGCACAACAGCAATCCAATTGCTGTAGGCAACAAATACTCGTACTTCATATTTGCAATGAGACTGCAACTGCTGCTGACCACATCGGCGCTATATAAACCAAAATACATATAGGATCCGACATCTGAAGAAGTGCAAAAGAAGTGTGCCTTATCTGTGCGGTGCTTAGACGGCATCAGAGCAGAACGCAATGGGTCAATATAGAAAGTCCACACCGATAACCGTAATGAAGCTTCCGAGTATATATATAATTATATATATATATATTAAACTGAGATAATCGGCGCACTATATAGCAAGTTATAAAACAATAAATATGTGAGAAAAAAAAAATGAATAGTGAAGACCGCTTTTTCATGCTTATTGCAAAATTCGTGGTGGCCGTTCAATTAACAAGAGGATAATTTGTGTTGCGTTTTATCGTCTTCATTGTGAAGTAAATGGGAATTGCTACGACAATAAATATGCCAAGAATATTGCGTTTGCTCATGCTTATTTCAATATATTTATCTAATTAAATTTTATTAAAATGTATTTTTAAAATTAACAAATTTGAAATTATTGCTCAAAAAGTGCCTCGCAGGTTTTATCAGGCAGATTCATTTAACATGGTTAACTTTATGTTAAGCTTGCAGTTAATAGACGTGCAAATCTTTTATATTTCGGCTTTTATCATATATGTGTTTTATTGATATCTATGACCAATATATATGTGCATATGATGTCGATTAACCTTTTTTTGGTTTCACGGTGGTTGTAAGTTTAGTCTGTTCAACCTTGCACTTTTCCGCACATTCCTTTCTCTTTTTAAATTGATTTCGATTTCCGTGGCAACCTTTATGGACGAACGCAACGCATTTCTTGGTTAGCCAATCATAAGACCAAGCTAGTTCTTTTCCCTTGCAGGGCTTTTTTTCGTTAAAGGCAATCGGCAATCCGCATGTCACTGTGTGGTACAAAAGGTTAACAACTAAGTTTTACTTGCAGATCAAGTTTTTTATTCGCTATCTACCATTTTGCTTAGCTTCAGAGCTGGCAATCGATGCAGCAAGCACCGTGAAGAAAAAACACAGCTTCATTCTAAGGATTAAGAACCAGAACTTATTTACAGTATGTCTAAAAAAAAATAATAAAAAACATACAATGCTGTGTTAATCTGTTTAACAACACTTCACACACCCGTGTCCAATCAAATAATTAGACATGATGTGGTTGAAATATTCTAAATCTGAATATATACAATATACCCACTGATTGGTATATGTATTTCTTATAATAAGCATAACTCTATGCTTTATAAGCCAAGTCATAAAATCGATATTTATCGGTACTCTGAAAATGGAAGGTGATATCGAAAAGCATGGCGATAATACAATGTATACCGTTTAAGTATTATATATGTGCAGCACTTTATATGCGTGCGTGTGTGTATGTACTTGTGTGTAATTGTGTGCGTGGGCTTGTTAATGTATATATATATGCATACATGTTTGTTTTCTAATATGTATGTATGTTTGTATGAATGTATGTATGTATGTATGTATGTATGTATGTATGTATGTATGTATGTATGTATGTGTGTGTGTATGTAAATATGTACGTGTGTATGTGTGTATGTGTGTATGTATGTATGTATGTATGTATGTATGTATGTATGTATGTATGTATGTATGTGTGTATGTAAGTATGTACGTGTGTATGTGTGTATGTTTGTATGTATGTATGTATGTATGTATGTATGTATGTATGTATGTATGTATGTATGTATGTATGTATGTTTGTATGTATGTATGTATGTATGTATGTATGTATGTATGTATGTATGTATGTATGTATGTATGTATGGACATTTGTATGAATGCGTGTATGTACGTAGGTGTACATGTATGTTTGTAAGTATTCGTATGTATATATGTTTGAGTGTATTTACGTAAGTATAGATTTTTGTGTGTATGTATGTGTGTATGAATGTGTGTTTGTATTGATGGGCGTTTAAGTACGCCCATTAAGTAGTATGTATGTATGTGCGTATGCATATACATGTACGTAAATATATTAGTGTGCATGTATGTTTGTATAAATGTCTGTATGTTTATAAGTATTATATATGCATGTGTGTGTATACATGTCTATGCATATATATATATATATATATATATATATATATATATATATATATATATATATATATATATATATATTTAAATGCATTGTATGCAAGACCAATTTTACCCTAGTTGCGCTGCAAATTAAAAAAAAAACATATTCTAACTAAGACCCTTCTACTCGATTCTCATAAATTAAAGTAAGCCCGAGTTCGAGTGGAGGAGGCAGCTTCAACTATGCAGGAGGCGGCTTCGACTATGCAGGAGACGGCGACTTCAACTAAGCAGGAGGCGGCTTCCACTATGCAGGAGACGGCGACTTCAACTATGCAGGAGGCGGCTTCAACTGTGCAGGAGACGGCAACTTCAACTATGCAGGAGGCGGCTTCGACTATGCAGGAGGCGGCTTCAGCGATGAAGGAAACGGCGACTTAAACTGTGCAGGAGGAGGCTTCACCTATAGAGGATTCGGCAGCTCCAGGAGGCAGCAGCTCCAGCAATAGAGGAGGCGCGGTATTAAGTATTGCAGAAGACGGTGCCTCCAAATGAATGACGGTGGTAATGGCGGCTTTAATGGAGGAGTCGGCTTCAATGGACGCGGCAGCTTCAATGGAAGAAGCGGCAGCTTTAACTCTAGAGGATACGGAGGCTTCAGCAATAGAGGAGGCGGCGGCTTTAATATTGGATAAGCTGGTAGCTAAAGTAAAGGCGGTCTAAGCAATAGACTGCTTTAAAAATGGAGAAGGCGGATTTAACTATGAACGAAGCGATGGCTGTGGCTGAGGAGGCGATTTGGTATTTTCAAAAAAACAGGTAAGTAATATTAACATATATATGTATAACAACTTTGTCTTATTATATTTACAACTAATGCAGTCGTATGCTTGCAAGTTATTTTACACATTGTGACATTAAATTTATTTATGCTTTTCTGTTCTTTCAGTGTGTTGATAAGAAATGTCGTCTTTCCTTCCCACTGATAGATGAGGATATTACAATAATGCAGGTAAGTACGTTTTTAAATATATAAGTAAAATATATATATTTATTTATATGAGATTTGATCAAGTTATATAGGGTGGGAAAGGTTGATATATGTCTTACAAGATATCTAAGGGTACAAAGGTATAGGGTAAAGGTACTTTGAGCTATTAAATCAAAGATCTCATAATGAAATAAAACAAGAAAGGCGCTTTTAAGCGGTATTAAATTAAATTGGATTCTTGTTATCCTTTGTTGATCTATCATTCAGTGAGTAACAGCCGTTTATACCAAGCACTTCTCCTCACATAACTCCTTGGTGCCAAAGCTATTGTCATTGCCTCCACAGCCTCCATAGATGAATTTAACGCATTCGTTAGCATCCGCATCGAAGCTCCATCTGGGTATATAAGCCTCACATGAAATTCGTCCGTCGCCATTTCTGGAATGGGGCTGACTGCACACATCTATGAACACATATCATATATCATATTAAATAAGAAAGTGATCTTTGGGAAAATATGTGAAATTGAAAACACACCATTTTTGAACGCAAAGCAGCTGACAATCAAGCCAATGAGCATTACACACAATACCAAAAGCTTCATAATAACTTTTTTATTTTAGTAACTATGAGAACTGAATGCGATCAGTGATAAATTTCAACTAAAGACCACAAAACTCAAACTCGCAATAATAAATACATTCCTAGAGCTCTGCTCAGCCGTCTTATCGCAATGCCTCGACTGTCGAAACCTTTGACTATAGAATAAATGTATTCCGAAGTTTGTTGTTTTAGTATTCGTAAATATTTGTTCTCAATGTTTAGCAATATTGAGTAAACGTATTAAAAAGGGGAACTTTTCAGTTGAGATTGCTAAATACACATGCTATTCTTCTCATTCGAGTGTAAACATTTCGCTTTCTGAGATTCATGACGTAGGCCATATGACCGAACCAGTTTGAACCAGAAATTTTAATATCAAGTGTTAACCGAACCTTGCAACGAACCTTGTGCCAAATAGGTTTCATTTTCTTAAAATGACATTGGACAGAATTTAGTGGAAGCCAGCCTACATCAATATAAAAGCCGATTGCAGAATTTGCATTTTTATTAAATAACATTCTCTATGGATTTATATGTGGGAAAAATCAGGCTTTTAATTAAATACAAGGAAATAACTCGAGCCCTGACCCAACGAAGCAATTCAGTTCTTCTCTACTTTTTATCAAAATATTTGGAGAATTTTCATCAACCTCAACCCCGTTCAGAATAAAATAATCTATGGTTAACTTTTGTCAAAGACACAAATTAGTTATTTTTTTTTTTTGTTAGTTTCGGCATTTTGGAACTCATTGATTGTTTATTAGAATGCACATAAAATATTACAATATAAAAACTCATTCAAGGCAGGCTGCCTCGCATTTCTCCTGGTCGGGAAACTGGTTCTTATTGCCTCCACAGCCTCCATAGATGAATTTAATGCACTCATTGGCCGCCGCATCGTAGGTCCATCTAGGCATATAGGCCAGGCAGACGGCGACTCCGTCCCCATTACGCGAGTGGGGCTGACCGCAGATATCTGCAAGGACCATTTAAAGTTAGTTCATTATTTTGGAAGAGTATTTCACATTGGATTACACACCATTTTTTAGGGCCAGGCAGTTGGCCAAAAAGGCAGCAACAATCACAAGCAATAGAAAAAACTTCATGTTGAATATTTTTATTTATTTATTTTTTCGCTTCGCACGTTAACTCTATGTAATCAGTGACAAATTTCAACTAAGCTGTGTACAAGTCGAACTCGCATTTATTATACAAATATTCCGTTTTTTTGTAGCTTTGTTTGACAGTCTTATCGCACACTCTTACCTCATGCTCGGGTAAAAAAAAAATACTAAAAAAATTTCAAGGGGAAGTAAATCGAAACAAAACCCAAATTATAGCTAAAATATATGTGGCAATGCTCAGCCTTTTAATTAATAAGTTTAAGATCTTCATCGATAACCCCATTCAAATCTACTCAACATTTAACATGCTCACCAGTTTTGCCAGTTAAGCGAGTTTTTAGAATCACACAAAGAACGAATTCTAGTTAAATATTGAATTGCTACGAAATGGTTTCAGTTTCGTTGCATTACTTGTTTCATGACAGAGTTTAAATACTCTTTTATAGTGAATAACAACAATAGGTACAAATTTAATGGATTATTTTAGCTTTATTGTGTCGCGGGCACAATATACTCAATCACCTGGGTGCAATTCTTGTCACTTCTCTAGATCTTAAATCTGGCGCGGAAAATACATAACAATAAGTGAAAATAATGCACTTGAATGCACCCGACTGCACATTACTCTGTTCACAGTTTAAAAACAGCTTAAAAGTAACTCTACAACTGTAACACAGGCACTTACAATCTGAATGGGAGCCAACGATAGTTATATGCATATTGAACATTTGAAGTATCGAATAATTTGAGTGTCGAAAAATATTGCGAAAGTTACTGCTCAAAGCCCGTATACCCCGGTTCGTCTTTTGAACAGAGTGTAAATATGTGAATTGTTGCCTCAATTTGCTTGTTTATTGTTTACTTTTCAATGAGCACAATACCCAACTTGGTTTCACAGAGTCTAGCTATAGTATCTTTTTCGGAAAGTCCCGAGCTGTTAGTAAACAAACTCATTTCCCAGAATTAAATACATGATTACTACGCTTAATGATTCAAAATAAGTAAAAGTGATATTTCATTTTGTAATTCAAAACGTTTGTAAAAAGCTTTGATAAGCGAATGGAATGAATTTATATATTTACGTTTTTCTTTTTATTGCATTTCCAGCGCAACCTCCATAAATAAAAGGTGTGCATCTGTTTTCCTCTACATTATAAGAATATTTTATAAGTAATATAAGGTGGTCCATCTTAAGCATATTTTAATCCGCAGTCGTCTTTGTGGGCATTATCGAGACAAAAGCTAAATTTATTTGAGGAGTGTTCCAGTACTAGTACTGACCATGTTTAAGAAGTGAAGAACTGACCACGTATGCAGCGAGAACCAAAAAAATATAAAATCAGCTTCCTTTTAAGATTTGCGAACTTGTAACCGCAATTAACAAACTTTGACTGAAGCGAGGAGAAACTATATTTAGAGTTTAAATCTGCATTTTGTTTTTCAACTGAAAAGCAAGCTTCGATTCACTCGTGTCTAATTTTAATAATCAAATTTAAAGTATGAAACACAAAAATCTTTCTATCTATTCTTTTAAAATAGTTGAGAGCGGATTTTGATTCAAATAAGTTATACACAGGAGCTTAGCTTTTGAGGGATAGTGAAAGGATACTGTGCCATTTTTTAAAGACTCGAAAGCGTGTGCTCCCAAATTCCTCTATATTTCACAGCATAAGTAAAGCATGGAACAATCATGATCTCATTGAACACCTTTGAAGGTCAAACAACGTGGGCTTTTTAAATTTCATTCAACGAATTTATTTATTAAGACGCAGGTCAAGTTTTCATTTTGCAATTTTACTCCACGCACTTGGATGCGCAGAGCTCCTCGGTTCCGAAACGATTTTCATTGCCTCCGCATCCGCCGTAAATGAATTTCTTGCATGCATTTTCTTCAGGATAGTAGCTCCAGCTAGGCATGAAAGCGGCGCACTTGATCAAACCGTTGCCATCGGCTGCAGGTGGCAGACCACAAATGGCTGAGGGAGAAGCAAAAGTTAAAAGAGGATCATCCATTAAGAAACCATCCTAATGCTTACAATCCTTGAGAGCCAGGGACACGCCGAACAGTGCGAAGAGCAGGCAAATTACTGCAGCGAATTTCATTTTGAAGAATTGTGATTTATTTAGGGCTTTCGTAGAGCGACTAACTAGATTTGGCTACAGAGCCAGATGTTTTATACTTATCTATGGCCGTACGTGCTCAATGAAACTTATCAGTATGTGTGTATGTATGTTTGTTTATATGTTAAGTTAAAGTTCATTAACAAATGGTTGCAAATAATTCAATAAATAGGTGGAGCTAAGCAGGAACGGAGTGAAGGCGGCGCTCAACAATCTAAGGCGCCGTTGTGAAGAATATTTCGAATGTACCGGATTGGACCACCATATCATAAAGTTCCCAAAGGAACGTTCGGAAGGAAATAACATTCTTGTTTGAGTAAAATTTTGATTTGCCTACAATCGGCAGTTTATAACTTTACTATGCCGCTAACAATTGATATATATAATTGATATTGATACAATATTGTCTGCAATAGTACTTAATCTATGACGGACGTATTTATTAGTGGAACACGTGACTTTTCTTGTTATTAAAACTGTATTTAAGAAGATGATTTGGTATAGATCGATTTTTTAAATTTTTTTTAATACTGGGACCCTTTACTTCAGAGTCCGCCCCTGGAGCTGTGTACTTAAGTGTATATGTGTCGATACATTAAATCTGTACACATATGGGTATGTATAGTGGGAGCGTGATTAATATAATTGTGAGTGTTAGCTTTTTACTTATGTACTATATAGACAGTGTCCGGGTTCTTCCCACTAATCCGAAGCGGGCTGGTTGGCGCTGCTCGTGGTCGTCTCTGCCGCTTGCTGTTGCTCCGCAGTCAGTTCCGTGCTCTGCTCTGTCGCGGAAGCTGCGGTTGATGGCGCTGATATGCCCAGGCAGAGCTGCTCGCACTGCTCTTTGGTCTCAAAGTTGTTGCTGTTGCCGGCGCAGCCGCCGTAGACGAACTCTTCGCAGGCATGCGTGTCCAGATTGTAGGCAAAGCGATAGAAGAGCGCAAAACAGCGACCCGTCTCCTTTGGCTGATGGCATTGCTCCGGCACACTGGTCGCATCGATGTCATCAGTTGTTGTCTGGCCCTCCAGCTGCTGTTTCTCCACCACCAGATGCGTCTGATCCACCGCGGCGCTGTGCACGCACACTATGCTGATCAGCACACTGAGCGCAATTAGGGACAACTTGTAGCACATTTCGTTTCGGTTTCTTTGCTGCGAATGACTTCAGCTCTCATACTTAACCAGCCTTAAATAGTCAAACAAACTGCCCCTCGAAGTGAGTCAACTCTGGCCCAAGACCGCACGTATCCGTAGTTTTTTTTTATCATTTTGTATTTGCCCGAATCATTCGCCGAGGCATGTAAATCACGGCGACAAGCCGCGACACCTCGTCTCGTCGCCTCTTGTCTCGTCTCGTTGACAGTTTTCAGACGTCCAATGCCTCAGTTGCAGTTCAACGCACCTATTAATATTGCTAAGCGTAATGATAGTTCAGCACGGCTAAATCATATGCTGGTTTATTTCCGCACAGCTGTGGGAAGTTCCACAATTTGTTTTGATGAACTTTTTGGATATTTTGAAAAACTGTCACGGAACAAGGCGTGCCGATCAGCCGATCAGTATTCCAAAACAAATATTATTTATTAAAAATGTCCAATATGTATATGAAATCTTGAGCTATGAGCGATTTATTGAATACAATCAGAGTAGTGAGGCGAGAGTTATAAAAGGAGCTGTAGGAGGGAGATTAGTAAACAGAGAAATTGAGGGAGAGCGAGATGGATATATAAGAAAGATGGAAAGTATATAAGAAAGATAAAAATATTAGAGATTAGCGAAAGAGGGAGAAAGAGATCGGGAGAGAGAGATACAGATAGAAATAGAGATAGAAATAGAGATAGAAAGAGAGAGAGAGAGAGAGAGAGAGAGAGAGAGAGAAAGAGAGAGAAGAGAAAGAATGAGGGAGACAAAAAAGGAGAAAAAAATTCAAGCTGTAGTCAGTACTAACTGAAGGACATAAGCTCGTCTTTAATACGAAATAAAAATTGGAATATAACGACTTCTCTCCTCTGCGATTCTCAAAAATTCAAGTAGGGCTTGCGCATTTCTATGTTATTTTAGTGATTTTTTGTGATGTGATTAACAGTGGATGCAAACTAAAAGTGCTATGGAAAGGAAAGGTGTTGTGGCAACTATTTAAGCTCAGCGGCCGCCCTCCTCCGCGATTCTCAAAAATTCATGTGTGGCCTGCGCAATCTATGTAATTTCAGTTAAGTTTTTGTTTTGTGATGTGACTAGTGGCTACAAACTGAAAGAATCATGTGAATACAAATTGTTCAGCTAACTATTTAAACTGGACGTCCGCCCCACTAAGCGATTCTCAGAAAATAAAGCCAGACGTACATATTTTGATGATTTTTCAACTGGCATAGTCAAAAGGGATGAGTGGTGAATAGAAATTGTAAGATTATTTTTATGCTTGATAACATCAGTTTAATTATTTTCGACCCAACACATAGCATTACTTTCTGTTTTTTGGCAACATGTAGATATGCATTTAAAATACATGTTATAAATGTATGTGGGCCAAAATGCCATATAAATATTCGGTTATATATATTAATATTTATATTTACTATTTGGTCAAAAAATATATTTGTGAAATTACCATTAATTGGTTCAGCTGGAATTGGGATATAAGTCAAATTGTTTATATATATTGAGAATTTTCAGAAAATTTATACTCTTTTATAGATAATTTATTTACTATGTTTGGAGAATGGCCATGGAAGTATTGTGGATTCGTTGAACTTAAGTCACTTCTTGACCAGACAGGCATCCTCGCAGGTCTGTCGAAAGCCCCAACGATTGTCATTGCCTTTACAGCCGCCATATTTGAATGTCTCACAGGCATTTGCCTCCTTATTGTAATAATAGCGCTCCAGGCTCATTCGACAGGGTCCCGTTTCCAGTGGCTGCAGGCATTTGGCATCTGTCGAGAGGATCGATACTTGCAACTTTCAAATGCAACTCAAACATATTTTTGTGACCTTACCTTGTGTGCGCTGTGGTTGTTGTGGTGGTTGCTGGTTTGGCTTGGGCTTTGAGGTGGGGCTGGTCGTGGTGGTGGCGGTCACCTGTGGTGCCTGTGCCAGCCCCTTGGGCTTGGGCGTGGTCACCGCCTGGGCCATTTGTGTAAGGCAGAGTAAAACAATTGCGGCAAGCCACAGAAATTGGGTCATTCTCGTCGTTCGTTTCATTCTCAATGTGATCACCGATAACTGCACGTTAATAGCTGCAAACAACAACTGAATCTTCTATTTTTACCTAAGCTGTCTAACGAGCTTTTTTGAAAATTATAATATAGTATAAGTGAGCTGGGTGTGCGTGTGCGATTGTATGTATCTGTGTGTCAATGCTGTTAAGCGAGGCATTTAACTCAAATTGCGCATACGAAGTGTTGAACACAAGCGAGCTTAATTATCAGATTTATACTATATGTATAAATACCAACAATTTTTTACACAGGCGTACGCATCTGTACATAGACTATGTAAAATAAAAACATATATATAAAAATATAAAGGCACAGCTAGTCAGCCAGCAGCTATCAGTCTGATGAAGGTAACCATTTGAATACCCTTCAGTACGATATTTAGGCTAGCTTGATATGTCCATGTAATATCTCATGATCATATACGTAAATACATTCGATTTCGAAATAATTTTTTGTCGAATAATATAAAATAATTTGTTGTTTGACTTACTGGTGCATAACAATTTTATCAGGTGTTTACAAAGTTCTCAATATTCGATGAGTTCATTTTAAGATTTCTAAAATGTAAAGTTAAGTTTGAGGTCTATGAAATGGTTTAAAAATAAAATAATTAAAAAGAAACTGGCTTTACACATTCTCCAGTTTAATTTTGTATTTATGATATACTTTAAAAGCTATACAAATATTAGATAGAAGGGTATCACCTTAGCCGACTACCTACAAAATTAGACTGCTTTGCTCGGATCGTTTGCCGATCCATCAAATTATTTTGCCTTAATTTGTTGGTCAACAAAGTTACACATTTTATGATGCAATAAACATTATTAGAAAAAGTATCTATTAATTTCTATGTTCACATACCAAGAGACATATTTTACAAGCAAATATAATTTCCTGGTGTTACATCAATTTGCATAAGAATTATCTGCCTTTAAATAACTCATGTGGGTGAAAACAGTAACTAAATGTAAGTAAGTGCAAGTGCGAAGACTTGAGGCTCATTAAAATTGCATTTGCAGTTGGGACAGGTTGCAGACCAGTTGGGTCTAGCCCAAGCAATAATTAGCCTGATTGATGTAGGCTAAAGATGTGGGCATGGCTAACGGACTAAGGTTGGGCAAAAACGTTAGTTAGGTGCTAATGCATAGGGCAAATTGAATTATCACTTAACTATGCTGGTAATCATGATGATGATGATGATGATGATGAGGAGTGCAGTCAACAGTCGTGCTATTTATTCATTAGCTGAACTCGGCACACACATGGGTCGTGGGTGGCACGCAAATTTGGCTGATTGAATGGCCGAAATGATGTTTATGCCTCTCTCTCTCTATGTGTTTGTGTGTGTGTGTGTGTGTGTAATGTGGTGACAATTCAGTTAACTGTTTAATTTGCTTGAAATAATTGAAATGCTGCCCAGGCGAGACACATTAATTGTGCCGCTCGTCATCCAAAACTGCGTTTAATTACTAAATTAGGCAGAGACCCAAATTGAGAAGTTGCAACTGACAACCAACTGAGAGCCAACTCATCTCGGCTCGACATGCAAGTGTATAGACTCAGCATTCATTAATTCATTCAATTAACTTACTCACAGATGCCTATGCGCCTTAACTGAATAGCTAAGTCCCAAGTGTATCTGTATCTGTTTCTGTATCCGTGTATATGTATCTATATCTGTACCTCAATTAGCATATACATGAGGCAGTGCGTAAACAACTACAGCTCGAAACCGAATGCCCACTTGCCGCTGCCCAGCTCCACTGGCTCTATTTTTGCACATGTATTGAAAATCAACTTCAATTTGTTGTATCTGTATCTGAAGCTGTTGTCGCTGCTGCTGTTGCCGCTGTTGTCATTGATATGCGGAACATGTTTTTGTTGCCACTGCAAAGTTTTACGTCATTTCATGTAAGCGCCGGCGCCGTTTGTTATGAGTGTTATGAGTGTAGGGTATCGGTGGGAAAGTTAGGCCTACATAGATAAATTCACTTTCCATATATTTAATATCAACATGAAGCTAAAAAAAAGTTCAGTATTATCATGCTTACATCCTTTTGAGTTGTGAACGAACCAAGCGTATGGTATCAGAGCCCAGGGTGTAAACAGAAGTCGTTTAACTATCTACATTTTAATAATCACTGAAAATAAAAATCCGAAATTTTACAAGCAACGTTTAAAGTTGTTTCAGCAAAATATTTAAAAAATGCTAAACCTTAACTTATCTTATTCAACGATCTTTTAATCAACGTTTTGAATGTGTCAACAATGTTATCTGATTTGGGAATTTTACAAAGTACATTATTTTTAACACTTACAGTATTCATATGATGTATTCCCACATATATATATTATTAAAATCCATATTTTAAATGTTTATTTCTAAAAGCCTTTGAACTCAATGTTTAATTAATGCAAATCGAAAAATATTTTGTTGTATACAGAGAACCCTGAAAACAGGTATAATAAAATAAAATCAGTATAATAACGCAATTAAAAGCTTGTAACTCTCCTATTTGTATTCAACATAGTTTTTGTTTACAACGTTTTAATTAATGCGCAGAAGATCATTCGAAAGACTTGAAAAAACGAAAGTTAATATACCCCAAGCCTCCCTACCTCACACCCACATGCATTGGAGGTTATAAGAAAACGCTGTCATAATCGATTGCCAGCTATATACATTATATATTTTTATTAAATATTATGTATTTCATACTATATATGAATATGCGCATTGTCACAAAAGAAAACTTTCTTATTTAATGGACTAAATTTATGCAATCTCAGCATTATTAAAATCTAATCTTAAGGTTAGTATTTAAAATAAATAAATGATCTAAGCCAAAGCTACAGCAAACAAGGCTTGCAATGTTTCAAAAAGTGCAATCTGAATGAAGTAGGTGAGCTAACTGTCGATATGGCCGTTATTAACAGCACTTTTCATTTAAATTGGTCAATGTTGAATCTTGGCTAAGCAAAAAAAAAAAAGAAACATTTGAAAAACAACAAACAATTGACGTAGCGTTTAGTGAGCTGTTGGCCAAAGAACGAGTCGGTTGTACGGAACTCAGCGAAATGCCTTGGCAATGGCTGCTAATCCAGCTAATGCTGCTCCAACTGCTGCTGGGTCAGGTCAATGGCGCCTCCAAACGTGGTAAGTCGCTGTCTGCCAGTGTGGCATCAGGCAATTCAAATGTGCCTCCTGTTGCAGTTAAGATGTGCCTGCAGCCCATGGTCAGCGGTCGCTGCTTTGGACATGTGGAGAGCTATGCCTATAATCCGCTCGAGCGCCGCTGCGAATCCTTCATCTATGGCGGCTGTGGTGGCAACGAGAATCGTTTTGACAGCCGGGCCGAGTGCGAGTTTAGCTGTCGTGATATTTAAGCTGATATACAAGTGAATGATGCATGATGTTCGCGAGCAATGTATGATGAAAGACGTGAATAACAACTACGACTACTGATATTGTAAGTGCTTATATTCAATTAGTGGTTTGATTGGTTTTGCTGCTGGCCACGTTATTGCGCCGCTTGACGTGTCGTGCATTGTTGCATATCTTTTCGCAATCCTCGAGCGAGCCAAAGAGTCGCTTGTTGCTGCAGCCCATGTAGTGGCAGTGCTGGGTCTCCTCATCATAATAGATGCCCAGTGTGGTCGGGACACAGAGGCTGCTCGTGCTGGGCTTCACCTGGCACAGATCACCTGCGGGACACCACTTTAGTTGACCACAAAAAAATATATTCACACAAACACTTGAGACTTACGTGTGCGTGCCAAAACCATTTGCCAGTCCAGGCACAGGGCCAGCAGCAGCAGCAGACACAGCGAGATTTGTCTACTCCGAATCTGGGCGCTCATTTTGCAAATACTATGTTAACTTCTTTGGCACAGAAATTTGAATCCTATTTGATTGTTATTGGCTCCTGGCAAATTCAGCTCTGTATTGTGGCTGGCAAAGATATCATCTGTATTTCCATAGAATCGCTGTAGACTGTCGCTGCGACGAAGTTGAAGTCAAATGCGCAGCAGTGCCAGCTGCTTCGCGCCATATATATGGGGTAATTATAATTGAAATATGGAATGTTGTTGATGCTAACCGTAGCCGTTGGTATATATAGTATACCGATTTGTTGATATGTCTTTCGCGTCTTCTTTTTCAATTTATGAGTTTTTTAATACTCGACACACAAGTTCAGCACAGTACAGTAGCCAAGCCAAAAATTCCACAAAATTCTTTTGGCACACTTGAAAGATTAATATTCTTCTCTATACGACTTGTTCCGGTCACCTATGCGACAGATCACAAATGAATACTTTGTGTATTCACAATTATTGTAAATGAATGTGAAAATGAGTGTTGCGACACTTTTGATCACTGCCCGCCCAAGCTGTTACTCTGCTGTTTGAGCTGTCGCAAACTCGACTCGAAACCTCGAACAAAAGGCAAACGGATTTGTAATCAGGTTGCGCTCTGCCAATAGCCGCTGCTGACGCTGCCGTTGACTGATAAGAGCAACAACAACAACAACAACAACAATAACAACAACTAAGACGTCTCGTAGCCTGCATGTGCCATGTTGATAATATGCATGGTGCTGACGAGCTCAGCTGCCGCCTGCCTGAGGAATGCTGCTTGGGGGTTGTGGTTCCGGCTGAAACCGGCGAGCGCCTGTTGCAGAAGGCCGGCCCAACAGCCAGGGCTCCAATCAAACCAGCTGTCGAACATCGACATTTGTATACCCTGACTACATTTAGCTCTACAACAACATCTTGGCATTATTTATAATTTAGCACTAAAATTACTCTTCGCTCAATCGGATTGTGCGAATAAAAGTTTTTTAAAAAGAATTATTTTTAAATTCTTAACTTTATTAATCGCAGCTCGAAATACCAACTACGCCTCTTTCTAAAAGCCATTATAATATATATTTTGTTCGAAAATATTAATGTTTTGGGACAAATAAACTTCATCTTTAGCGTCTTTTCCAATATTGTGATAATGTGAACAAACGTAAACGCTTTAATTATAATACCCTTCGATAAAGCGTATTAATAGCTGACGCAAGCACTACTCGATGCTCAAGTAAAGTAATTAATTAGGCTGCGACTTGGAACATGCCACAAGAAGACAAAGTCAAACACGTTTCAGATACGTTTCAGATGCTCATTGGAAATAAACAATTACGTCACGGGTCAGGGCGGTGATTAACACTGGAGCACTGGATTTAAATCAGACGCAGTTTGTTGTTATAGTAGACACACAGATCTGTTTATTGAGACGCCTCATTCATTCTTATAGTAATCGCGACTGCGACGCTGGCCCCGCACACAGGTCGCGATGCAGTCTTGGTGGCTGCCAAAGCTTTGGCCGGGCGTCAGCCGGCATGCGCCAATCGAGTACATCCGGCAGTCGAGCGTCGCCGGATCATAAAAGAAACCCTCGATCTCAATGGTGCACATACCCTCGGAGAACGGCGGTGGCTTCATGCAAATATCTATCGAAATCAAACGTGACAATTAGCGCCTGGTCAAGGCGGATTCACCTCATCCACTCACTTGGTATGCCGTGCACATAGCGTGCCTCAATGTGGCCGCATCCGAGCCATCCTAGCAGCAGCAGCAACAAAGGCTTCAGCGGTGACATCTGGCTGATAGTATATAGCACAGCACCACCCGCCGGACAACTGAGTGACTGAGTGAGGCCAGACCGACATCAAAGTTGGCAGCGGCAACACCTCACACACACACACACACTCGCACACACTCGCACATACAAACACATACAGCTGCCGATAGCCCGTGGGGTTGCGATAAGAAGCGTGGGGCCATGCCTCAGTTATATGCCAAAGGGGCGCACATGAGTTCGGATTGTAGGCCACATATGTGGATCTCCAGAGGTATATAGCGTAACCAGCGATAGCGAATAAAATGCGAACAATTGGACCATTAGTGAGAGAAAAAAGATCATTTTTGTATTGCAATCGGAATAAGGAAAATACGTTCCGATTAGATCAACTATTTCTTGTCAAAAATATTCGTGATATCAGAATTATTGCAGATCCAAATTTAATTCTGCAAATGTCTTGTTTGAAACTTTGCTTGTGATTCATTTGATTTATTTTGCAAATTTCCCTGTAGGGAATCTACTTGCAGATTATGGTGCATTTGCATAGAAGGACAAATTCTATATGCCCTTTACGCCCTGCAAATAAGATGAAAAGTATGCGAAGAAAAGGTTTCAGTGGTGAAATATTAATTTTTGACGATTTTTCGATGTGGATTTCGGATGATTAAAATAGTTAGAAAAACACGTTTTTGTCGGTGAATACCAGCTAGTAATAAATATTTTTATTATAATAACAACATATATATAATGGTTTTTCTTTTAAAGCAGCTCGTTTAGATGAACATCCTTGCGCACAGCATTGTTGAAGCCCTCCTTATAGCGATACCATATTGGGCTCTTAACAATCGCATCTGTTTTGACTGTTAAATAAATATTTAAGAATTATTTAAAAATATGTTTTGGTTTTCAAAGCCATTGTCTTACCCTCCTCCGTCACAGACGCTGCTGATGTTTTATGGGTAACTCGTCCAAAAAAGTCTTTGGTAAGCTAAAGACAAATTTTTAAATTAGAGTTAAATAATTTATTTATTAAGTGGCATAAAAAGTAACAAACAATGACATTTGCTACAATTTAGCACATAATAATATAAAAAGCCTTCTATGAAGTGAGAGGAATGATAAGACCAGCAAAAGCAACCCCTGAACAAATGCGCAACCCCCAATGAAAGGGACGCTTGTTGTTGTTGTTTTTGTGGCAGTCGCTTTCGCTTAGGATTGGCAATAAATGTTCGTTTGCGTTGATCCCACATTACGACCCTAAAGACAATGGGCAGCGAATCCCCTTATGGGTTATTAGCTTTTACAGGATTTGCCGCAGAAGCAAGAAAAACGCAGAAACTAAAGCCTGCTCAGAGACGGCTGTTGAATGGGAGGGGTAGTTTCTGACATAGCTAAATTTCAATAAGTTGCTCCACACAAATTTGCAACAAAATTGCTGCTAAGTAAATGCAAGGCATGCAAATTGATAGAAATATGGAAAGAGCCGCAATTCACCTGCTGTTTGGGCGCATTGAAGTCGGTTATTTGTTTTGGCTTCAATGTTTGCAAATGATTCGGCAGACGTGCAGCAACTGGCTTCTGCTTTGTAGCAGCCACTGGAGCAGCTGCCGCGCTTCTTGTTGCATCCGCCTGGTCACCTTTGGGCGCGGCGCGACGTATGCGCTCCAGATCGACCTCGCGTGCAATCAGCTGGCGACTGAAATAGGGCAGCGTGAGACCGGTAAATCCTATAACATATGGATCATTTATTATTAATTGATAATATTGTTTTAGCTAGGTCGGCTGAGCTTTTAACTTACCTGGAAATGCACAGAGCGTATCCAAGTCCGGTTCGGTTTGAAAGACATAATGACCCTCCGCCGATTTGACTTGCACAAAGGTCAAGCCAAGATCAACCATTACTTGAATTGTGTGCCGCAGATCGTATTGCTCTCTGTAAGAAAAAATGATTTCGCTTAAAACTAACCGAATCAACTTACAAAAATTACAAAACACTTATTTAATTAATGGATAATTAAACATATAACAATATTCTAGTCTTGACTTTACAGCTGACGAACTGGACATAAGTTCCAATTAGATTGCAAAAACGAAAATTAAAAAGAAGTACATACTTGAAATAATACGCATAATAAGAATCGAATTTGGTATGTCTATTTAACATTTTGGGCAGCCTTTGTTTTGGGGATTAGGATTAGGATCAGATCAGATTCGACTGACTCCAAGATACAAATGAACTGGCTGCGACTAGCTTTTCAAATGGCTTTCAATATAGCGAGCGTTTCCCACAATCTCTACCGTTTACATACAAATTATATTCTCGACAATGTTTAGAAACTTCAAGAGACAGTCTCTTTTAACACCTCGAATGGACTACCGATAATTGACCGCTGTCAGTAATCGATCCCATTCTGCCAAGCCCGTTTGAATTGACCAAACTTTTTTATGAAACACTCACTTTTGCGATAGCAGTTGCACAGCCACCGAACGCAACTGTGGCGACAGAATCCGCTTCAGCAGCGGGACCGTGTCCAGTAGCAGAGTGTTGCCCTGACCCACGCCCTGCGCCGATGTGGTGACACCTTTGCGCAGCGCCAGAAAGATGTTGCGCTGGTTCGTGCACTTCTGATTGAACTGTGAATAAAAAATGGAAACGTGGCAGAGAATGAGAAAACGAGAGACAGAGAATGGGGGTTGGATTAGTGTAAACAGTGGCAAATCTATGCAGAACTCTCATTAATCTTGTGATTGCATTTGAGGCACATAATGCACAAGAAATTACAAGGCTTGATTGTGTTGATTATGCACTTTTCTGTGGCCCTCGCCAGGACTGTTTGCCCCAGCTAATGAGGATTGCATAATACATGAGGCTGGCTCAAAAGAACCCACACTGCTTACATGCTAAATGAAAAGAAATGATGCGACCCGCAGCTAACTCTGTCGTCGACGACGACGTCGTTTGCTTACCTCAAAGCCACGCGTGGGAAATGCAATTTTCGGCCAGGCCAGTGTGGCAAAGAGCAAATGCCAGACCACAAAGCCGTACTGCAAATATGGATAGATGCTATAGTTCTGCTGCCGTGAGATTTGATGCTGCAGCGTATCCGAGAAGCAGAACCATTGAAGAGCCTCACAGATGCCCGTAAAATTCGGATCCGGCATCTTTTGCTGCAAATAGTTTTCATAGACGCCTTGAGTGAGCCTGCAAAAATAGTTTTAGTTTTCAGTTTTTCTCATGGAATAAAAGCCCGCCTACCGCTCGTAGTCTCCGCTGGAATGTACCACGTCGAGCACATTGCGCACTCGCGTCGCCACAGACATATTCGTCATGGTCACCTGGACGGGCTCCTCGGCATTGTTCGAGCTGCTTTGCTGTAGCTGTTTCTTTGGACGTTGTATCTGTGAAGAAGGAAACATTAAAAATTTGTTTAAGTTCTGCTATTAATATTTTAAATATGGGCTAGTAATAATATATAAGAAAAATGATTTGAAACAGGGTCATAGATTATTCGCATGAATATGAGAATAACTTAACTGTGAAGTCAATTCGAAACTCACCCTAAACACAGCACCCCACACATCAAACAGACCCTGATGGCGATCCTTTTGACCCAGATTATTGTTAAGCACATCCTGCAGCGTAAGACTGTGCTTTTGTACGCTGTAAAACAAAACAAAAATAGTTAATAAATAATTAAAATTTTTATATACAAATGCTTATAAGATACAAATTTGAAAAGCAAACAAGAATTTTGTTTTATCTTAAATATGCATGAGATTATGATTAGCAGAGTATCGTTTGGGCTGTTTAAGACTAAGAGGATCCAACTATATTGATGGATATTTGATAGATGTATTAAATTTTTTAATCGTATTAAGCTACTGATAAGTTTTGTATCTTAACTTACTTGAAGAACTGCATAGATGAGATGCAGCTGCGCACATCGTTGCCCGATTTATCAGCCAATGCAATAAGCGAGCCAAAGTCCGTTTTCAAGTGCTCTTTTTTGGCAATTTGCACCAGCCTAAGATATACAAATCACATTAATCAACTGTAACCAAGTGCAACCACTTTTGCAGCTTACCGCTCGGCCAGACGCGCTGAATCGATGGGCGGAAAGTTGACCACAAACGCAATTTGGCGCAAGGGTCGCAGCGCGGGATCGTAAATGTCATTGCAGATGCAGATGATGGGACGACGCAGCACATTGTGCTCCGCCTTGGCGCCCTTGGCTTTGACCTTACTAAATATGCCATCGCTAACAAATTTGACCAGATACTCGATGGACTGGCGCGGTGCGCCATCAATCTCATCTGCAAAGGATCAGGAAAATGTTACAAGTCTAAAGATTATTTTTATAAGTCTTGTACCCGCTTACCCAGCACAATGCAATTAGGTCTTTTATCCTGATTGAGCACCGATGACATCTGTGTGCCATTCTCCAGTGCCAGCTTAAAGGCATCTGGACTGCGATCATCCGAGGCATTGATCTCGCGTACATTGTACCCTGCATGACGGGCAATTGTATGCGCCAGCGTCGTCTTGCCCAGACCAGGTGGACCGCAGAGCAGCGCCACCTTTTGCATGGGCCTGCCCAGTTCATCCACATTAGTGTTCAACGCTTGACGCGCCTTGCGCTGTCGCCAGCCGCCATTCGATTCAAATTTGCCAGTGCGTTTGTTGAAGCTATTTAACTGCTGTGCGCCCGATGCTCCAGTGTTGGCTGTCTGCTGTTCCTGCTTGCTGTGAAAGACCTTGCCAAAGACCACCTTGTCCCACATTTTAAGCCAGTAGAGCAGACTGCGATTGGTCATCTCATCCGAGAGCAAATCAATATATTTCCGCGGCTTGTACTTGTCCACCCAAAGGCGTCCCATATCAGGACTAGATGGAGCTGGCGCGGCGTTGATGGGCTGCGTGGCAGGTGCCAAGCGTCGTAACACCTGAAATGGCAGACTATTAGCATACTATTTGTCAGCATTATACACTTAACTCACCAGCTCGTTGGCTTCCTGCCACACCTGCTGCTTGGCCTCGCCCAGTAGACTGCCTATTAGATCGCCTCGTGCGCTGAGTAGCTCTAGCTGCCGTCGCTCATAGTCCTCCGAGTGAAAACGTACATAGAGGCGTTCCAAATCGCTGCGTTGCAGTGCCAGGAATGGCCAGGAGGGAATATCATATGACAGGTTCTTCATTTTGAAGTCGTGCAGGGCTCGCAGACGTGATACATCATCATGGCGCACAGTTTTGCTAGTTTCCCGCAGCTTGCGCCTTAGCTCCAGTATGCGTTCAATGGCTTCGTTATCGCGTTGCTCCTCGGTGCGCGCCTTCTTTACCATGGGATCCTCATAGCTTTCGTAATATAGATCGTCAATGTCGCCAAAGAGATCGCGTTCAAGTCGGCGCTTGTTGGTGCCGCGCAGCCCCAATTCCTGTAGCTGTTCTGCGGCGGCGTTCGGCAGCGGTGTTTCGATGTCTACAGTGGCATTTGCTACCTCCTCTATGGCCGGCATGCGCTGCAGGGGCGTAGAGCAGCCGCGCCCTACTGTCGGGCCTCTGGGCGTGCCAAAGAGACGTCGATTCACATGTCCGCCACCGCCGGCATCAGTTTGAGTGGCACCGAAGGAAATCTGAGACAGCTGCGGGGAGCTCAGAGTGGAATTGCTTAAGCGTGATACATCCTTGATTGCAGCAGCAGTAGTGGGTGCATTTGCTCCTGTCTTTTGTTGTTGTTGCCCCAGTGCAGCTGCAGCCTGATGCGATGTACTGGGTCCATCATTGACGGCGTCGTACTCGTGCGGTATATCCTCGAGCAATTCCATTTCATCCTGGTACTGCAGCTCGAACTCTTCATTCTCATCAGGATATTGATCCATTTTGAGATTGGCAAAAGACAGCAAACCGCAAATAATAAACAATAAACAATAAACAAGTGCGCAAGGTTCCCGCCAAAAATAATAATAGAGCTGTTTAAAGCTGTTTGCTATGAAACATCTGCGGTAGTCTGGCAACGCTACTCAAAATGGCAGCGAGTGGGCCAAGAAATGTAAAAGGTGGTGCATGAGTGGTTGGCTGTACAGTTGTGACATCATAAAATTGTGATTGCATGATAAACACATATATGAAGAACAAAGAAATTGTAGTTGATGTTATAGACGAGTTTAAAAGGATTTCCAATTTATAAACTATAGTACTAGCTTTTTAATTCTAATAATTCAGCTATGTGCGTCTACCTGTGACGTCCTTTGATTTGGTTGACAACACAGCACAGCGCATGTCAACAGCGTAACCTTATTACATCTCCCCATGTGCGCCCAGCTCCAAGTTTTTTTTACAATGCAAACTTTCAGTCACAGTTTCAGCGTTAAGAACGCTAATTCGCGATAAAGTTGATATATCCACAAGTAAATTAAATATAATTAAGTGTATTGTAGCTGACAATATCTCAAAGGCCGACATGCGTTCATAATATAAAAGAAAAACAGTTGCTCGTTGATAGCAGCAGCAGCCGTAGTAACAACAACAATTCCAGCTCGATAGCGGATAGTCTGCTGGAGTCTTCGTCTGTGTTTTTGAGTTCTTTGTGTGTGCACTTTTCCGCATCGAATTTCAAGTCAAAATGCGCTTGGAACTTTGACGTCATCAACAACAACAAAAGAAACAAGAGCAGCAGGCAGCAGAGAACTTTGCCCTGTCCTCGCCTCGACCAACAACAACAACACAAACGACAATCGGAAATTTGCTGCTGAGGTGAAAGTTTTTTGTAATCATAAGATTATCAAGTGATTGTTATTGAAAATGGAACGCTGGCTGTCTGCTCATGGATGTGAGGAGGATGCAATGGCCGCACCTTCTGTCTGCCCAGCGGCAGCTGCCGTTGCGGCCGCCTTGCCCTCCGCCCAACGCGTCCACGGCGATATCAGTGCAAATCGACTCTGGACGTTTCGTGTGCTGATGAACGAGGAGATCTCAGCTTGCGAGCAGCTGGCCATTGTGGGCAGTTGCGAGGCGCTGGGCAATTGGCAGCATAGCGGGGCGGTTTTAATGAGCCGACAGGAATCGCAGGAGGAGGAAGACGAGGGCCACGTGTGGATGGCTCAGGTGTATATACCACAGCATTGTGCCACAAATTATCGGTATATGGTCTGCGGCGTGGATGCCGCATCGGAGCAGCTACTGGTGCGACGCTGGGAGGTGCAGCTGCAACCGAGGTGCATTGAGGAGCAAGATGAGCAGTCGACAGAGTGCCAGGACACGTTTGGCTATGTCAATGGCAAGCACAAAGTGGATCGCGGCTGGCTGACCAAAGAATCGCTGGTGCAGCTGAAGTTCTTTTATGCGCCCTTCACCTGGAAACAACGCATGAAACGACGTCTGGTGCACGTCAAGGTGACGCCCATGAATTTGCGCATACCCGTCAACGGTTGTGCTGATGTGGCGCCCGGATCATCGCTTGAGGATTCGCTATCGAATGACACGCACGACACTCGTGAGAATGGCAACGATAGCACAGCTTTTGCCTTCAGCGAGGTGGTCACCCTGAGCGCAAATGAATGCGAACTGCGCCCTCAGGAGCAGTTCGGTGTAGCGTGTACAGCCAGCGATTTGGTTATCTTTCATCTGACCGTTGCCGACCTGGAGAATACGGCTTATCTGGTTGATTTGTACAGTTATAGCTCGAAAGTGGCAAGAGAAGATGGCCCGCCGTTGCACCTGGGCTATCATTATGTGTTGCCCAACTTGTTTAAGCGCTCCGAGGGCAATCTTGAGCTACCCATTACTTGCGCCAAGGGCCATCGTCCGCTGGGCATGATGCGGCTGGGCTATCTGATAGTCCGACCCTCGTCCCACAGCGCCCACATGGACATGCGCGTGAGCTATGCTCGATATTGGAACAATAAGTGGACCGGCCTGGACGTGGGCCATCGCGGCTCCGGCACCAGCTTTAAGGTAAGTTCATAATAAATGAGTATAAATTTATGATTTTGTTAAATTTATTAATATTGATTTATTCTTATTTCTGTCGACTCTTCCAAAAATATCAATATTATAGATTTTTATATGAAGAATCCTTTAATAGTCCGTTTTGTGTCGTTCTGATGATAAACGTACATACATACATACATGCATACACAGATATATGTACAATATGATGAACTTAAGGTATTTTGCACAGATTATTCTACTTAGCAGTTTCCAGTTCATTCAGACGATTCGGAAGATGCGGGCTGGAGCATTCAATTAAACAAATCAGACCATGTTTATAATCGACTCAAGTCATTAGCAATCGATAAGCATATGTATACTCTTAAACACACTAGGAGATAAGTCTCCGGTACACCATCAGATAAACAAATCAGCTTTTTCACTTTCTTACTTGGTCAGAAAAGTCATTCCATATTTCCTTATAAGCGTTAGACATTCAACATATGGATAACAGATAAAAGTTGTGTTAATTGGTTTATTATTTAAATAATTGTAGAAAAATATGATTTAATGTGATAATTCACAATCGCATGCCCTAGTCAAACATTTTGCCGTGGCAAGAAAGTATATTTCATTTACTCGAGAATGAGAGAGTTCCAAAATGATATTGCATTTGATTGCAAACCAACAGTTTACGGGTTATATTATAGTATTTGGATTGTAAATGGACTTGCATTTAAATGTCATCACCTGAATTTGGTATATATATTGTTTATTTTTGGAAGTGCGCATAAAATGCATTTAAATTTTTATCAAAACCTATTAGGTGCCCAAAATAGTTATTAAATGATTATAATTCTAGGCCAAAGATGCAGTTATCCGGGAGAACACAATCACATCGCTAAAGAATGCCGCCGAACATGGCGCCGACATGGTGGAGTTCGATGTGCAACTTAGTAAGGATCTTGTGCCGGTTGTATATCATGATTTCATGATATATGTATCGCTGAAAAGCAAGTGCAGCATGCAGGAGCATGATTTCCTCTCGCTGCCCATGCGCGAATTGACGCTGGAGCAGCTAAGGAAACTGAAAGTCTATCACACGGCCGAAGGGCTGTCACGTGAGACGCGATCCTTTCAAAACGAGGATCAGCTGGAGCATCAGCCGTTCCCGCAGTTGGCGGATGTGCTAGATGCGTTAGATGAGCACATAGGATTTAATATAGAAATCAAGTGGTCGCAACGTCTGCAAGACGGTCGCATGGAGGAGGAGTTTGAGCATGTGGTCGATCGCAATCTCTACATCGATTGCATTCTGGATGTGGTGCTGCGCAAAGCGGCCAGCCGGCGGATTGTATTCAGCTGTTTTGATCCAGACATATGCACCATGTTGCGCTACAAGCAGAATCGTTATCCGGTCATGTTCCTAACGCTTGGACACACCTCCAAGTACGAGAAGTATATGGACCCGCGTGGTAATTCCATGGAGACAGCGGTATGGCATGCGGTTGCCATGCAGCTGTTGGGCATTGTAGCGCACACGGAGGACTTGTTGCGAGATCCCAGCCAGGTAAACTGAAGCTTTGGCCTTTGTTGGACTTTTACCTAAACGGGCGTTTTAGGTAAATCTGGCTAAGGAGCGTGGCCTCGTGCTTTTCTGCTGGGGCGATGACAACAATTCCAAAGACACCATAAAGCTGCTTAAGGAATTGGGTCTGCATGCCATTATTTATGACAAAATGGATGTCCTAACCACCAAGGAGGTCAAGGTGAGTATCCATATTATATTTATAAGAATCCATACATTAATGATTGTTTCTCTTTACTTGCAGCAAAGCGTTTTCTTGCTGCAGGCCAAGGACAGCCAAAAGGAGATGCTCAAATTGCAGGCACTCGAAATGGGCCACGTCTGGCATACCACTGCCTCGGGCAGCGAGGAGCAGCAGGCCTGAACTTTGCATAGCTTTAGCTTAAATCATTAACCGCAATCCGAGACAGCTGATTGAAAGATGTTTATTTATATATTTTCTGTGGATCAGTCTGTTATCAATGGAAACTCTCCAATTACATAAATATTGCAAACACACGTGCATGCAAACACACACACACACACGTACTCATTTTCTCGTCTAGCCAATTTGCATTTGCATTTTCTAGTAAATTTTAATTGTTTTTCTAAGTTGCCTACTCAAAACTTTTTCCTATGGTATCAAATTGTTTTTGTTCTTCTATGCACTGATTAACGCTTGTTATTACAGTCCACTCTATATTCCAATTTTTACGTCTTCTATCTTTTATTGAATGCAACAGCGAAAAATTGATTTACAATAAAATAAATGATAAAATAATTCGTATTTCGATTTATATTTGGCAGAGTATACTTCAAACTGCGGTATTATTAAATGCAATTAATTTTAATAGTAAGGCTCAACAAAGTTTAAATTTGTTTAAACTAAATCGCCTTAAGATATCGAACAATTCAATATGTAAAATCTCTTTAAACTGAAAAATCAGATCAAAATGTTCGATACAAGTACCATGAGCTCCGAAAGCAAATAAATGTTCAGGTAAATATCGGACAGATAGTTCTAAGAATTAAACAGCAAAAAATCCCGGCCTATTAAGAATTGCTTGATAATATTTGACTAGTTCTTGTGAATTAAACTTTTGAAGATAAATGCCTCGCCTGAATTTAGAACACTTTTTTTTCTCTTAAATGCTGTAAAGAGAATAAGCCAAAATTCAATAATAAGTTATTAAGATCATTCTTCAGACATGAAAAAGCTATGCAGCAAGAATTTCATAAAGCTTGCAATTTAAAAACACCTTTGAAGAAAATACTAAACTATAAAAAACACGAAAATATTCGTTAAAATATAGTTATTTTAAATATTTTATGAAACTTATTTGACTCTAAAATGCTAAAATACAACTCATAGATCCAAAAGAGAATCCAAACTTCTAATTCACAAATACAAACTATGAGAGCTTACATATATATAAGGAAATTAAAGGAACCAAAAAGCTGAATTTCCCGAAATGTTACCACAAGTTGCCCAGGCGCAGTCCAAATAATAAAAATGACTTGTAAACTTAAAAGTTTTTTTTAACTATACGGGAAAAAGCAAGCACAATTTTTTTATTTTTAAGATAAAATATGTATATGGTATATATGGTAAATATATTAAACTTTAATCATATTATAAATTCATAAGTTCAAAATCACGTATACGCAGAGTGTAACAGCGGTTGTAAAAATGTTATGCTCCTTAGTATACCCTTGTCGACGGATATTTTTTCATGAAATGTGTAATGAATAGGGAGATCTCCGACCTATTAATTATATATATACTTAATCATTGTGTGAAGAGTCTTACCATAATCGGACACGAAGGTTCTTTAGCTTCCTACATTTCTTCAAACGTTAAAAACTCAATTTTTGTAAGAAAGATTTTTGTTTTATATATCTTGACCGGACTTAGCAATAACGATCTTAAAGATTATTCTCACAACCTACCATTATTATTATATGGCTCCTATAGGACACATATTTGTCGGAAACAAGTTATTTCGATGGAACCAGTTTTATGCCTTATGTCTACAAGTATTTTATCTTCGGCGTGAAATTATTGTTGTTTTATTTTGCTTAAAAAAAAAAAAATTGAAAACTCACTTATTTTACAGATATTATAGCATGCTTATAAAAATTTCTAATCACAAAAATCACGTATACGCAGCGTTGCATTTGCCGCCACGTGGAACGTCATCACAAAAGAGAATTGAGCGAGAAGAGCAGGGCGCATGCACCACAGCAAACTCGAAGAGCACGGAGAACAGATAAAGGGAATCAGAAAATTCCATCAGATTTGTATTTCGGGTTTCAGTTTGTTGTATCGCATCGGATCGTTCGGAACGCGCTGAGCCCAAAAAAAAAAAAACAAAAAATAACAGACGAGAGCCGAGCAAAACGTGAAGCAACGTCGAGACGGGGCACGTTAAACGGCACAAAAGTGTAGTGTAGTTCTAGGCTTTAAGTTGTTTTTTCCCCTTATTTTGGTTCTGTTTTTTTTTTTATTTTATTGCAATCCTTTTATTTGACACAATTAACACAAGCACAGAAACACGCGAAAACTACTCGGCGATTATGTTTATTGGCAAAGCGCACAACAACCAAAAGGCCAGCAAATAGGTGAGAAGCGGTCATTGAAAATGGTTAGTTTGTGTATGTGTGTGTGTTTGAGAGTGTGTGTACGTGCGTGTCTCTTATGTGTGTACACACTAGTGGAAAATGCGTAAAGCTTGATCTATGACAAGATGGGCATAAAAAGTCGTTTCATTTTAAAGTCAACGGGCAACAAAACAATCAGGAAGTTTTTCGTGCTACACAAAACGGAAAAATCGATGCGTGCGCCTGTTCCCATACACACACACACATGCACAGAGAGCTAACCCGTATGTGTGTGTGTGTGTGTGAAATGTACACTCCAAGTTAACAGAAGGCAGCAACGACTTCATACCACAACAAAAAAGAGAGTAGAAAAAAAAGAATGAAGAAAAACAGCAGCATTTAGAGGCAGAGCCGCACTTGCTACACGCTACTTGCAGCACTCCTGACCTACTGCCACCCAGGCGCCCTGCTGCTTGCCCCGAGCCCTGTGCGTGTGCTGCCAACAGGATGTGGCCATGTGCATGTAGTGGGTGTGTTTTAAATGTGTGCGTGTGTGTGCTTGTGTGCTTAAGCTAGGAAATTTGGGTATAAAAAGGCAAACAAGCGGCCCACAAAAACAGAAAACTCATTTTAAATATGTGTACGCGCCGAGCTTTTTGAAGTTCTCCCATGCTCATTAAAAGTGAATAAATGATGTGGCCTGCAGGGCAAATGAGTGCCCCTAATATAGCAGCTAGCACGAGGGTTACCTACATTAATTGGATATTTAATGGCCGGCACTTCTTATGCAGATATTCATAAATAATATAATAGTATTTTCAGCCGCCAGCAGTTTGACAAGCATTGGGCTAGCCGGGTACACATTTGAGTGTCGACTGAGTCTGAGTGTGCCCACATAATCATTAGCATTAATGGTCAAGTACAGCGGCAAACCGCAAATGGAATACCCCTACTTATATATATATATATAAATATATTGGTCGGTATGGGCTGCTCGTCCATTTTGTCGGGGACTGCCCTCGCCGTGTGTATTTCGATTGTTTGTTTTGTTTATACAGCTCATGTTTTTCATTGTGCCCCACTGTCCGCCTGTCTGTCGGTCTGTCGGTCTGTTGGCCTGTTGGTCTGTCTATCCGAGCAGTCCGCCGAGCTGCCGGCCTGTGAATAAACATTGAACATTGAAAATCGACAGTTGAGAATCGACAATCGACAGACAGACAGGCAGACAGACAGACAGAAGAGAACAGAGGCTATCTCGAGAGACAGTTCGACGGAACGACCGCATGTGGGTGTTTCTCGTTGCGAGTGTATTTGTGAATACAATGGGTGCGTGCGGCTGTGTGTGTGTGTGCGTGTAAACAAATGCAGCGTTAAAACTAAATATTGTTTAAGAACAAATATTTGCCTTTTGTGCAAATCACGAATCACCGATTTTTTCGCAGCTGCTCCGCCAACCCCAAAGCAAATTAATGACGCTATCGATGATATTCTTTCCTATATTTATATATCTGAGTTCTGCCAACTAGCTACCTGCGATTATATTTAGTCATTAGAAAAGCAAAACATTTTTTTGTGGGATGCCTTTCACGAGCTGCTAATGGGTCATTTCAATTGAACCAAATATTATTGCCAGTGGTACTTGGTATAAGTGCTTGATTTGGCTTCTGCTATTGCGTTCTTCTATGTATACCATATATACAATGGAAAAATTACCTGGATTCGTAATACTCGAAATCGAATCGTTCGGGAAATAGGAAGCATCAATCAGTTATGGGTTTCTTTGAATTTGCATAGAGAGCGAGAGTTGAATCATTATTTAACCTGCATAGCTCTCATGTGTACCCTGAGATGAGATATGTGTATTCATAACAAATCGTTCAATAAACCATTTGTTTTTCCCTAATTAATTGAGGATGTGTGAAAGTGTGAGATTCATTTGTAGTGATATAAAATATGAATATGCTAATGAATTGTTTACACAATTCTTGATTAAAGACACACTTTTGTATATATCATGGACACAGACCAAGGTTATGGCTGCATTCGTTTAGAATTCTTTTTGCGCTGATCTTATGCTCGACCTTATGAATAGTTTGAGCTCGTTATTGTAATGCAATTGATTTTCTTTCTTATTCTTTCAGCGCAATGTTGCCCGACCAAACCCCAACCTAGTGAGTAGCCCAATGCCAATGAAAAGCAACCAAAATGCATTCGGCGTGCTAACATCTAGTTCAATTTCAAGTGCATACGCGCCAGGCACGTTCAAGTGACAGAGTGAGTGGAAGAGTGGGGTGACATCAGTGGGCGTGACTGACCACCTGGCTCCGGCTGGAGAGCGAGTGCGAGTGTGTGAGTGTGTGTGTGCCTTTCAGCTGGACACGCGACATCTACAAACATAATCGCGGGCAAGGAATACGAAAAACATTCAGGTTTGCGGCCAACACAAATCCCACCAGACACGAATCCAAAACCGTAGAATTTAGCCACAAACAGCACACAGATACAAAAACAATTACAACTGATCATATTTGCTAAGCGATCGTATTTACACTGTGATCATGACTTATATACCTAAAAATATGCATCACTATGCGCATGCAGCCATGAATCTGATCAACATGGACTCGGAGAATCGTGTCGTGCTCAATGTGGGCGGCATTAGGCATGAGACATACAAGGCCACATTGAAGAAGATACCAGCGACGCGTCTGTCCCGTCTGACCGAGGCGCTGGCCAACTATGATCCCATACTTAACGAATACTTCTTCGATCGGCATCCGGGCGTATTCGCACAAGTGCTCAACTACTACAGGTAACTTTTATAATATGCATACTGCGTAAAGTAATTTGATGAATCCTTTACAGAACTGGTAAGCTGCACTATCCCACAGATGTGTGCGGTCCGCTGTTTGAGGAAGAATTGGAATTTTGGGGTCTTGACTCGAATCAGGTGGAGCCCTGTTGCTGGATGACCTATACACAGGTAAGGTCATGCATTTTACAAAAGATAAAGCGATACTAAGGTTTTTTTATCTCGCAGCATCGTGACACACAAGAAACCCTAGCCGTACTGGATCGCTTAGATCTGGATACGGAAAAACCGTCCGAAGAGGAATTGGCGCGCAAATTTGGCTTTGAGGAGGACTATTACAAAGGCACCATATCCTGGTGGCAGGAAATGAAGCCACGCATCTGGTCGCTATTCGATGAGCCTTACAGTTCCAATGCCGCCAAGGTATACGCTCATGAATCTCTGCTCTTTCGCAGCCTAACTTAATATCTCAACTCCTTTACAGACAATTGGCGTCGTCTCGGTATTCTTCATATGCATTTCGATATTGTCCTTCTGCCTGAAAACCCATCCGGACATGCGCGTGCCCATCGTGCACAATGTGACCGTGAAAACGGCAAATGGGAGCGCCGCATGGTTTCTGGACAAGTCAATGACCAATGCGCACATTGCCTTCTTCTATATAGAATGCGTTTGCAATGCATGGTTTACGTTTGAGATATTGGTAAGTGACCGATAGACTATCGAAAAGATATATCGATTCTCGATACAAACGACTATCGATGAGAGATGATAAGCCTTTAGTTACTTGGTAGGATAACAGGAGTACGTATTTACTCTTATAGATCAAAGACAGTGTTATTAAGATCTGCAAGATAAACTCTTATTCTTGCAGATCTAAAAGAGCCATGCCAGATAATACATACAAGATATTAATAAGCTGATAAATAGAAGCTACAAAGTCTGACGACCACAAAACAATTATTGAGCAATTAAAACAGGATAGAAACAATTTAACCAAAGATATATATGTGCATATAGATCAAAAAAGAATGTTTCCGATAATAAGCAGCAGATAGTGAATTGAAGACAATAGATAAACCCAATCGCTGAGTAGTTCTACACATCATAAGGCGACAAAAAATATCAATATAAATGAATTGATTTTTCACCTAAACGAAGTATTTTTGAGCAAGAAAAAAAAACTTATAGCCCAGGACTTGAATTTCAAAGTATACTTTTTATATACAAGAAATATTATAACAAAAAGTATAAATAATATATAGGCTTCGATTTTATATAGTTAGAAATTGACAACCTAAGTCTTGAATATACCAAAAAACTATGGCCTTCTGCTACGAATTTATAAAGCATATATCGTCAAGAAAAAGGCTTGTATATATATTGTCAGCAAAACTTGTATATTAACTGATCCATCTTCAAACTAAATAAAATGTAAACTTAAACGCAAATGAAATTCATTTAAATTTTGTTCATTGCAGGTGCGCTTTATCTCATCGCCCAACAAGTGTGAATTCTTAAAGTCATCTGTTAACATCATAGATTATATAGCGACGCTTAGCTTTTATATCGATCTAGTGCTTCAGCGATTCGCATCGCATCTGGAGAACGCTGACATACTCGAGTTCTTCTCGATCATACGCATAATGCGGCTGTTCAAGCTGACACGCCACTCGTCCGGCCTGAAAATCCTTATACAAACGTTCCGGGCATCGGCCAAGGAGCTGACACTGCTCGTATTCTTCCTGGTGCTGGGCATTGTGATCTTTGCCAGCCTTGTCTATTATGCCGAGCGCATACAGCCCAATCCGCACAACGACTTCAATAGCATACCGCTGGGCCTGTGGTGGGCATTGGTCACCATGACCACTGTCGGCTATGGTGACATGGCGCCCAAGACCTACATTGGCATGTTTGTCGGCGCCCTATGCGCCCTTGCCGGTGTGCTAACCATTGCACTGCCAGTGCCCGTCATAGTCAGCAACTTTGCCATGTATTATTCGCATACGCAGGCGCGAGCCAAACTGCCAAAGAAGCGAAGACGAGTGCTTCCCGTGGAACAGCCGCGACAGCCACACCGGCCAGGTGAGCGTAAGTATCGAATCGCGACAACTTAAAAGCCAATATACCCCATTCTCACGCTCACTCTCTGCTTAATCCAGGCGCTCCAGTCAGTGGCTGCGGCACACCAGGATCTGGTCCACACTCGGGTCCCATGGGCTCCGGCGGCACCGGACCGCGCCGCATGAACAACAAAACCAAGGATCTGGTTAGTCCCAAGTCAGGTAAGTGTTTGGTTGCGCCGTCGCCAAATAGATTACCATCCGCAGCACCAATGTACCTTACCACCTTACAACTGAGCTGCGCTTCAACACCCGGAACACCCGGTACACCTAACGTATGCCTCTCTATGTAGTACCAAGCAAACAACCCAAAAAAAAAAAAAAAAAAAACAGTGTTCAATAACCATTTTGAAAGCCATGCGGCAATCAGTTCCTAACCCACACGAAAGCTCAAAGCTTGCACAGCTGCACTCAGTACTCAAGTCTTTGAGTTTCACTTAGCAGTTGCTGCGCTGTACCCTGGTCCCTTCTCTCACTATCTCTTTCTCTCTCTATATATATATAAAGCATACTAGGCAATATCTATTGGAAACAATATTCCAAAATTTTGCAAAAGCTAGCGAACAAGGCTACAGTTCTAAGAGTTGACTAATGATCCTTTGACCCTATATGATATTTAAATTTTTATTTTTGGGGTGCGCTCCTTGAGCGTTGCAATACAATATACTATTAAAATTGTGTGTGTATATATGTACTCTATGTAATTAAAATATGAATGCATATTCGAATCAATTCATCGAAAGCTCATTTTCTGAATCATCCCAAGGCTTGGCTTTCGTTTAACGCTACTTATGAGCTCAGAGAGCTGTTGATCAGAGATCGGTAAAGATAGTTTAGATACTCAAGCACATTGATCCAAGAATAATTATTGGAACTGTAAAAATATCGACAAATAACCACGATTGTATCTATATCTTCAATATCAACAAGATACTTTAATATAAAATACAAGAAAAGCTTTGCATTTCATAAATTTAAATAAAATGTTTAATGGTTATATGGAGGAGAGAACTCCTCATTTATGATATATTTTCATATGTTTGTTAGTGCCATCGATGTTTTAGCAGCTCTCTTGCAGATCTCTAATCAACATTCATCATTCCCATATTCGAGCTTCCATTCCATGGCTTAAAAAAAAGCTAAGGAAATTCCAAAATATTTTGTACAATATATTGAAGTCCTACCCACTCAGTTTTTGGTCCTATCGGGTTTATTTCTTTTTATTCATATCAAACAAATCGATTTTTGGATAATTTTGGTTAAAATGTATTTTTTATAATTTTTTTTGATAAAACCCAATCAAAAACCAAAAATCTTATGTAAATACTTAGATGAATATACAACAATGATTGGCAAGCCACGTGATGGCAAAAAGAGCAGGCTGCTCTGAGCCATAACCATGTATCAAGAACACTGAACTCTGAACCCTGAACTCTAGCGAAATATTTAAATGCAAAGAGCAATGCAAGGCAAGGCATAAATAAGGAACATAAAGAATGGAGCATATCTATGAAGCAACTATCGAACTGGCATCATTATTATTTAGAAAGAATTCATCCCGACTAGAAGTATCCACACATTAGAAAGCCAATATCAAATAAAATGCACACTATCTGAATACAACTTTAAAGGAGCCGCAGGATTGAGATTCTTATCGTGGTACGTTGGCCTCCAAGGATTCTATATGATTCAATACACGTGCCAAGCTCGTCGGCGTCTGCTACTACTACTACCAACACCTACTACTACTACTACTACTACTATAACTACTACAACTTGCTATATAATCGTATATATCCCATATATATGATCGTATATAAATACAATATGTAATTTTCTACGTGTATTCTTCCATATATATATAAACTTACTATATACGACTATTGATATATTGATATTGCGCATCGTATACGTGTTGTTCATCAGTTCTGGCTCGTTCGTTTGTTCGTTCAAAAGTATTTACTCTCTATGCATACATATCTAAATATCTACTCTACAAGTATCCCCATATATCTTCTATATGTCTCTCTCTCTCTCTATCTATCTCTCTATCTAACTATCTATCTATCTATATCTCTATATCTATTTCACATGTTGAATATCTAAATGTGTGTCTGCGTGTGTGTATTTCATATACTTTATTGTTTTTCGAAACGCTCAGATGGCGTTCAACATAATATATATAGTTATATACGTATTACATTTTTATAGACAAACATATTTGTATTATCTTGAACTTTTGTATTTCAGATATGGCCTTCAGTTTCGACTAAAAGATAAAACCAGTTCATATTTTGTAATTTATATTCTTCCAAAGTACCGAAAAAGAAAACACAGTTCAAATGCAAGCACAAAAAAATGACAAAAACTCAATAAAAGCTCAAAATCGAAATCAAAAAAACAAAAATCAAAACTATTTAAAATCGGAAGACTTAACAAAAGCAATCGCAATCGTAATCGTTATCGTTATCGTAAAACGCTCATCTATCATGCTCTCAGGCAATGCCAAAATGTAACGGACTAAGCTGGGCGGGTGTGTTGGTTTTACCATATTCTAAATAGTATAGCTCTATGTACTAGTACTCTCTACTCTAATCCCAATACGAATCCTATCTATGTAGTGTAGGCGCTGGCAACAGGTCCTACCAGAAACTTTAATTTCTAAAACTAAATAGTTTGTAGCAAAACCTTCAAGAAACCGCAAACAATAACCAAAACCTAAACCGGAATCGAAAACAAAACCAAAATCGTAACCTTCACACCTTAACCATCATCCAGCGTTGATTCGAAAAGTTTGCGAAAACTTTAAGCAACCAACCTCAAGTATCCAAAGTAGTTGATTGTTTTCAATGCTGCATGCTGCATGTTGCCCGTCTGTGTGGCACGAACCACTCGAGTGTCATTAAACCTAGTTAGTTGTTAATTACCTTAAGTTGTGTGTATTAACTAAACATGTGCAACACTCTCTGCCCGTGCGTGTGTGTGTTGTCTTTTGTATGTGTGTGTTGTATATTGTTTATCCCAACCACACACCCTGTAATTAGTAGTTTCAAGTGCACCCTGTAATAAACAACACTAATAGCGTTGCGTCTACCCTTGAATTCGAATTAAGTTAATTGAAATTGGATTGATTTTCTAGCTTTATTAACCAAATTTAATATAAATGCTTATTTTTTTCTCTCTCTCTCTACTCTTTATCTCTCTTTCTCTCTCTCTCTCTCTGTTTCTTTCTCGCTGTCTCTCTGCTCTACAACCTACATTCTTCTGCTCTCGCTTAACTGCGCTAAAACCAAACAGTTGCTCAACTCTTCACAGGTCCCCTGGGCGCCAGCATCGTTGCGATGAGTCCACGCACCATGTTAGATCTGAATCCGGCGCTGGCCATGGGTAAGCCCACATTTCAGCCGCGTTTCCCGACACAGCTAGCGGCCACGCCCCCAGCGACAGTGTCCCCAACAATACCAGTGACATTGGCAGCAAATGCAACAGCAACAGCCACGGCAGCGGGTGCAGCGGCTGCAGCCGCATCTGGTACAATGCCAGCGGTGCCCAGCATAGCGGTATCCACCACCGCGAGTCTGGGTAAGGATAGCACTGGCACTGGCACCACAACGACGACCAGCACCACTCTGGAGGCCACCAAGAAGGCATTTCTTTAAAGGATTTGGAATTGGAACAATGGAACATGATGATATTCTCAAAAATCCCATCAAGCAATATTTAGCCTATAACCTATCATAACCTTCGCATACGTATGACTATTTACGAGTAAATATCTCTATAAATCTATTATCACGCAAGCTAACATAGACTCCCATATTCGGCCATATCATGACATACATATTACTGTAGCTATATAAGTATTATTACAATTAATAATGCATCGGCACTGCTTGGCGTTTTAAACAGATATTGAACAAGTTTTTAATGACGACGTTTTTTAGTATTTTATTTAGCGTGGTTATCGATCCATTTTATATAAATACATTATTAGCCAGAAATAGCCAGAAGTGTATATACTACATAGCTAACGATTTTAACAGCCGTAGGACTCAAGAACAATAACAAAGAAAATTAACAATGTTTTTTATTCGGTTTGCCAGTTCCTTAAGTATTGTCCAAGGACAGTTGTGTTTCGAAAGCTTTAATTTCATCTAGAATCTAGACACAACATCAAATCAGTTATGCCATTTTCCTTAAAGCTCAACAGTTCCCAAAGCTAAGTATTCATGTGCCCTAAGTATTGTCTTTTTTGTATGCCTCAGCTGAAAAAACCAACTCAAGTAGCTGGACTTTGGTTCGTGCTGTGCTAGCGTTTCTTTGCTTAGAAGCTTTGTTATTGCCTAATTAGAAAATATACGCATGGCTCAGACAGAAGATCTATAAATATGAAAGTTTTTCACAATGTTATAGCAACTGCTTAAAATTCATTGAAGCATTCAACGCTGCCAATCGCTTGTTTAAGGCACGTGTTAACTTTTTCAGCTAATAAGTGCTTACATCCAACGGGCTTTCCTTGACTTTGGCGTTGATGCTACCAACCGAAAAACATTGTGCAAACTTTAGAAAACTTTAGAAAAACAAATGAAATTTTCCGGCTGCCCGTGCTCTCATCATGAGCACCAGACAAATTAGCAGAGGGGCCCATGAAAGAAACGCTTCAACTTTAATTACATTTTTTTCTGTTTTAAACCTGGAACAGACGGCAGAAGCCTCGTGTAGAAGTTGGAGAAGAAGTGTAAATTGGCATGGAAAATCTCTCTGGCAGGACTTTGCTTTAACGAGCGTAAAACGATTTAAATTGCATATATTCAAATGTTTTTCATCTTCACAGTTGTTGTAGGCAAACGTAGTTCACAGCTTGTTTTCCTTTTAAATACTTTCTTTTTCTTAGGTAATAAGGACAGTGGTAGGGGGTCAGAGTTCACAGCAGAGTGCATATACATGAAACATATTAATGTGTTTCTCTTGGATATCATTAGGTAAACCCTCTTGTACATTTTAAATATCTCTCAGCAAGCATTATACATACTTACATACGAACATAGTTATTGTATCTATACATAATAATAACGATAATTTCTAAGAAGATTCTAACGCTTTGCAATAAATACCAAAATAATTCGTTAAAGAAGGAAAACGATAAAATGAATAAAGTTTGCAAAACATTTGTTAAGTTTTTACAATGGAAAAGCATTTACGAGAAACTTATAAAAAAAAATAAATAGTACCCAAGCGTGCATATATAAATATATATATGAAATATGCGAATGCGTTTAAACATTGTTTTGTTTTTATTTCTGATTGTTATGAATATTGTTTTCCTTTTCAAACAATTTAAAAACTGATTTGTAATTGTATAGTTAAGCGAATTGTATACTATTTGAACTAATGGCAAAACTGTTCTTTCAATAACGCATGAAGAAGAATTAATTTAATTATATATAATAAATATACGAAACTCAAAACTGAAATGCAATAAACAAATCTATTGAACACCAAAAGCTGCAAAAAATGCAAACAAAAAACTTTAAATTTTAACGTATTTTACTTTGGAGCCATTTCTCAGCTCAGCGCATTTTTGCTCAAAGACGGCAGCTGTAAAAAGTATCCTTAGTTTTTTATATAAAGGAATAGAAATACGTATCATACAGTTGCCCTTCCATCAGAAGACGTGGAAAATGCAAGTTTGTTTATTTATTTATTTTCTTACACTCTCTGCAAAATGCCTTCCAGAAGCGTTTTTATCGAGTTGTGCAGATACAAAACTCTAATACTTAAACTACAAACTAGATTAATTGTTAAAAGTGTGCTTAAGAATTTAAGAATATTTTACTAAATTTATCTTAAAACGTTTTAATTTAGATTTATTCACCATGGCTACGTAGAACTGTCAACAAATGCTTTTAGCAAAGTCCATACCCTACTTCGGGAACCCAAACAGGACTTATGGCCTTAGTGAGATTTCGTTTTGCTGTTTATTTATTTACCAACGTTTTGAAAGTAAACAGGCAGACTTTTTTTTTGCCATAGACTTTGCTATTTGCTTATTTCTTTCACTTTTTCGCCGAGTCATCAAACCTATGCAAAATGCGCGGATAACCAAGACCTTAAGTTGTTTAGTTTTATACTTTTTTTTATTTTTTTTTCTTTTATTTTTGGGTTGCCTTGGAACATGTACCACAACAACAACTTGGGCATTTAAATGTCTCGATTTCATTGCTCAATTGTGAAAGCAATTACATTACTCGTACCGTTGGGCAGCGCATCATGAATACCTGAAGGCCAACCCAAGCCCCAACGGCTTGAACTTTGGAGTTAAGCTAAGAGCTTTGACCAGGTGCAAAGGCCCGAGGCTATTGACCAGCAGAGCGCTTCATTAGGCTGCCACATGGCCCATGAAAGCGTCAGGACATAACAAAACCCACAGCCACAAGCCCAGCTGAAATCCAAAATACACCTAAGCACATCTACAACAGGGAACACAGCCCCAAAGGGCAGTTGACAGTTTACCAATCAACAGTTGGCGCCCAGACAGTCAGCTGCTCTTCGGCCGCATCGGGACTGGCGTCAATCTTCGTGCTTCGTAATTTGAAGCGCCCACACCAAAATCTAATAATCCATGAAATTTCAATTACGAGTCAAAAATCATAGGCCAGCTAAATGCTATGAGTATCTATGGGTATGTACGCATCTATTAATGTATCTACGTACTGCTACGCATTGCTTGGCAAATCTTTGAGCGTCATAAACATCAAAGATGTTGTTGTTGTTCCTGTTGTTGTTGCTGCTGGTGGTGTAGTTGCTATTGGCTCTCAGTTGCTGGAATGTTGTGGGAGCAGGTAAAGAAAATGAAAAGAAATCAGCAATCAAGTGAGTATCGAATTTGAAATACACTTTATTTACTAGTTTCAAGATTTTCTTTACAAACGTTCGTATTTACCTTAATGACAGCTTTAAGATGTGGGAACTTATGGTCAATGCTATATTATTAATAATATTATTAATAAATTATTTATTTTTATTTTATTTTATATTATTTTTTTCTAATTTCATTTATTGCTTATGTTTTTATTTATGTTGTAAAACATGATTACATTTAGCGCAACTAAGCTTCTAGTTAACATGCTTATTTAGAAAAAGGGAATTAAGTAGCCGGTTAGTGAATTTTCGTTGCTATGGCGCCAACTTCGAGATTAAAATATTAATATTAATTTTTATGATTATAACATAGCTATCGCTAAATCTTTAAGTCGGCTCTGATATGTACGCTGCCTTTAAAAAAGAGTTATAAGAGATATCAATATTTGTTTAGCTCTACCAAATTAAGTGACAAATTTGGAATACCCTGCGTTAGAGCATGAAAACAAGCTAAAGACTTGCCGACATTGCGTGAGAGTTGAAAGGCATTTACATTAACAGTTTTCCAGTTTTCAGTTTTCAGATTTTTGTCTATGCGCGGTGAGAGTTGCCTGGAAAAAGCTCTCTCTCTCTCCTTCTCTCTTTCTCGCTCTCTCGTTCGCTGCGACTCTCTGTCCATCTCTTTGGCATTTGCCAATGAAGCTCTCTTCTCTCTTTCTCTTGTTCACAGCCAAAAATACATTTCTCTGGCTATTTGGCTATTTTGCATGGACGACTGCCCTAGCGCCCGCCCCCTTCCCAGCCCGCAGCCCCCAGCCCAGGCGAGCCCAGCGCTGGCCCAGCAGTCAGTCTGGCTGTGTGAGGCTCTCGTGCGCTGCCTTCGGTTACCATAGATACTCCATGGAGCGCTCTGATCCCGTTGTATTTGGTCGGTTTGTCTGCCGGTCCCGGCTCGGCAGCAGCGGCGGTCGCTGGCGGCGGCTGCTGCTGCTGCTGCTGCTGGAGTTCACATTCACAAACGGTTTCAGTGTAATTTTGGCTGCGCGGCGTGTTAGTCTCCACGTCGCTCTGGGGACCCGGAACAACAAATTGCCATATCCAAGTGTCTTGAGCGCGCGTGTGTACGTGAATGTGTGTGTGCGTGCGTGCGTGCTTGCGTGCATGAGTGTGTGTGTGTGTCGTGTGGCATCGTATCTGTGTGCTACGTCGTGCTCCAGCTGTCAGCGGAGTCGTTGTCAGTCCGTCGCACCGTCGCCGTCGCCGTCACCGTCGTCGTTGCCGTCGTCTGTTGCTCTTCGCGGTCGCATCTACAAGTTTTTCCTTTATTTTTTTTTTTTGGGATTTTTTTGTTTTTTTTTTTTAGTATTTGCTGCGTCGCGTTGCGTTTTCTACAATTGCTTGAGGTTGGTTGTCATTTGAATATTAAAGCCAAGTGCGAGGACGACAGTTTTGTGTGTGAATGTGTGAGTGTGCGAGTGTGCGAGTGTGCGAGTGTTGTCCCCCAGCTCCACTCTGAATGCCCTACGCACCGAATGCCCGCCCTGGCAGTCAGCGCAAATTGCGCCCCATGCCCCCCGAACCCAGAGTTTTCACGGGTTTTCCCTCCTGCAGTTACACTTGTAGCAATCGCTGTAGTCGCCTGGGTCTCCAGGTCTCGGGTCTCAGGTCTCAGGCGTTTGCTTGACTGGCTCTGCGATTGCGATTAAGACCAGTCATAGTTGCTGTCCGCAGTTGTTGCCTGGTTACGTTTACAACTGCCACACTGACTGTGGCATGCATTAAACATAAGCGCCACTGCAGGACTGTGGGGCCGGGCGCCGGGCGCCGAAGTGCGCGGTGCGTCGGGGTATGGGGGAAAACTCAACTAGATTAAGTGTGCGCTGAAGCTTTTATTTCACAGTGTTTGCTTGTTTATTTTTATTCGTTTTTTTTCGTTTTCTTCACTTTTTTGAATTTTTATTATTAGCACATTTTGCGCCTCTGGAGCGCGCTTGAAGTCCGCTCATAAATTAATAACATTTCATGACAAATATTGCGGCATGTTGCATGCAGCAGTTGCAGCTGCAGCTGTAATTGCAGCTATCACAGTAATAAAATAAAATTAATAAATAAACAAATTACGTTTGCAGTTCAAATATTTTACCCACCAGAAATGTTTATGTTTATGTTCCCACATTATATATTGTAGATTTCCTGGATGTCTTTTTCTGAGCAATCTAAGCGAACTAGCAGATGTAAGTCCAAGCATAAGTTCATCCAACTGGATTCTATTTTAAAGCTAGGTAGAAGGATATTAAAAATAGCCGATTCGCGGGCCCAAATGTGGCCTAACTCAGCCTATTAAATATGTCACATAAATGTATATTCTTATACAATTTTTGTGTGCAATTAAGCTTCAAGTATTGCGCTTAATTCTTTAATTTTATTTTGTAAGCCAGGTACAAGCATGTTTAGCTAATTACTTTAAGCACACTGTGCTTAAGACATCATCTTACAACTTTTTGACATTTTAAATTTGACATAATTTTTTCAATACCTACCAATTTGACCTGTTAAAGAAGTTCTACCCATGTCAAACGACACACAATTTTTTTTTCTGGGAATATAGGTGAAAATGAAGTTAAGATTATGAAGAGCAAATCAAACAAAACAAAATAAAGCTTTAAACGAGAGAGCAGCAAATTGGAAAAAGTTTGGACCTAAATAATTGTGAAAAGCAATTTTAATTTTTTGAATTTTATGATATATTCCCAATTGTCAAATTATAGAAATTCATATGATATTAGCAATTTAAAGCTCCTGTGGCCAGCAATTATTTTGATTTCGAAAGAATCAATCAAGATTTTAAATTTTGAAATCGCAAGCAAAACCTTCTTATGCACGACTCAAATATAAATCGCAAATATACATTTTATTCAATTCAAACTTTCTCACATATGTGTATTTATATATGCATGTCGCTTTTGTATGTAATTGTCAGCTCCAGGAATTCGGGATCTCCTTGTGTTGTCTGTAATGTATTAATTATCTAGCCGTGCTTAATGCTGTCTTTTATTGCAGTCAGATGTAATTGAGTTGGGCTTCCGTTTAGCTAAAGACGAGGCAAGAAATTAATGGGAACTTCAGCCTCTCAAAGCTAGACGAGAGTGCTTACGAATCTTCATATTATCCTTTGTGCTGTGCTAGTTATTATAACTATGAGTAAGTTAGTTATTTTTATTATATTATTTCAACATTCTTTTGATCAAACGTATTTAGTTTATAATCCGACGGATGTCATTATCAATTGCCTTATAAGACAGTTAGCAAACTTTCGAATGTGCCGGGAACTTTGGCAAGGCGCAATCCGAATCACATTTCCGCGCTTTTATACTTCAACTGAAAGCGAATGGCTCAAAAATTGCATAACGTATGTCGCAGCTATCCGATTGAAAGGCAGACGGAGCCATAAACGCCCTATTTGCCTTTGCTTAGAAGTTGGAATGTCATGGAGAGTCTGTGACATCTAGAGACTCAGCTGGTGTCTTTGATAAAAGCCCAGACCTCTCTATTCTTCACCAAACTCTGGTTGCAGCTGACTCTTTGTGGAAAGAGGTCATCTAAGGAGCTTTAACCAAGTATTTCAATCGTGAGT